AAACTATTTTCCTGGCAAGTCATTGAATGATCAATACATGAATAGCAGGCTACAAAAAAAACCTTATGCTGTGAAATTAAAACTTAGCCAAGTGTTTGAATGCATGGTACTCTTTCCTACTTTTGGTATGCTTTCCAGCCTTAGCCAGGTCTTCAAATACATCATTCATTTTTGCAATCATTCTGTGTAGCAAAAGCAAGTCAGTGATCATAAAGAGGAATTTATTTAAGCAAAAGAGTAGCTTCATAATGTACTTTAAAAAGTTATATCATGCTGCAAAAGATATGTTACTTTATGCCACTATCAGACACCTCTGAAAGCAAATAGAATTTCATATTGTTTTCTATTCTGGTCCTCATATATTCACAGAAGCCTTCAGACAGCCTAAGTCCTTCAGAAGCTTTCTACCAATAAATGTTAAAATTAATCTTTCTTCAGGCATTAGACTCAAAAAGAAAACATGCTTTTTTTCCATATTTTCCTTCAGAGTACTTGAACTGTTTCAGTCCAATGCCTGAAAACTTAACCTTTTGAGTCATTTAACCAGTGTTTTTATTGTTCATCTGTCTGTCTTGGTTGTGTCTGACCTCTGGGATGATTGCAATAGAAAAAACATTCAGCTTTTCTTTCTTTCCTTTCTTCACTATGACTCAACATCCTTCTCCTCTCAGGGGTATGACTACAGTTCGTAGGGAATAGGTCCAAAGTTTCAACATTTCAAGTGTCTCACCCACAGATACTTTTGTCATTTGAGAAATCTCAGGGTACCTACTTTTGCAAATATACAGAACATTCCCTGGGTTATAATCTGGGGTGGGGAGGATTAGCATTTTTCTAGAGGAGCAACAAACCAGTACTCCAGATACCCTGATAATGAAGTGCTAAGGAGCAGATTTCTGGATTAAAGTAGTTCAGAGTGAAAGCAATAACCAGATACGTGTGGGAAGATTGCACTACCAGCAATTAGTTCTCTTAAACTAAGCATATGCAAAGGAGTCATCACAAATTGCTACTTCAGGAGACTGTATTATAAATTAAAGAGATGGGTTCTTCCCACCCTAGCAGTTTGTTTTCTGGAGAGATGACTCTTTTCCTTATTTAAGTATTCTTATGAGGCTTTTTTAGCTATCCTGCTGCAATTATCGTTCTTTGGTCTTTTCATACAGCTCGTGCAGCCTATCTAAGCAGAACTCTTATTTTCCACAGCTAGCCCCTTTGTTTTCCACCTTTTTGCCATTGTTTACACATGGTTTATATCCCTTCTCACAGAATCAAAAATAATTCTCATTCTATTAAAGAAAAGAAGCCCCTTTTTTTCCCATTGAAATGTTACTGCTTAATTTAAGGATGATGGTTTTAAAAATTATATCTAGAGAGGAAATAAAAAGGACACCAGTTTTCAGTTTATGTGAGTCTGGACCATATTAGCTGTAAGTTTAAGAGAATTACACTTACAATTGCATTTTAAAAGATAGTTTACTAGAACAGGATCTACTTCTAGATAGAAAGCATTTTTTTTCTCATTTTCTGTAAAGAGGGAATGTAAAAATATTTTCCTATGATTAACACCATGCTTTCCCAGGACAAACAAAAGACTTTTGTAAGCCAGAAACCACAAAAAATAAGCATGTGTGTTCCCAAGGATTAGAACAGTATTACACACATACAGCAGAAGACGGTATGGAAATAAATTCTAAAATAATGCGTTCAAAGGCTTCAAAAACCATTTTAAAATAAGAGTCAGTTTTTCACCTCATACATATTGACACAGCCCTGAGGTTTCAATCACTTAGATACATACCACAGTAGCTCCTTGATAGCTCAATTTACAGTTAGGAAATGTTATCTAAATGTAGATTAGAAAACAGCTTTTGTGTTTGCAAGTTCACAGGAGGGAGTGGTTTGGCTTTCATTTATTGGAATGTAAAATGGACGAATTTTATATATGATGCCTACAGAAGTCATATTTAATGTGACCACGTGTGCAACAGGGTTGTCAGCCCCTGTGAAACTAGAAGATGGGCCTTGAACATTAATTTTTCCTAATGACTCCCCAGCACTCTTGCTGTGAAGGATTCTGATGGCAACATCCTGCAGAACTATGTGGCCATAGGTTTAATCTGGGACTTATGTCTGTAGCCTAACCCAGTTATACACATTTCCACCCAAAAGCATGGGACAGGCATCTCCAAAAGGAGTTTCACCTCACCTGTCTCAGACAGCAGCCACAGAAAGGGAAAAATTACCCCATGGAGATGCCTATCTAGCTAAAGTCCCATTAATGTCACCAATGTATCAGAAAAAATAAATCTATTAAAAAAAAAAATAAGGGACATTTTCCTTTCCTTTCTTCTGGTAATATTGTTATTATTTGTTCTCATGCACGCTAACTTGTGGTGAGCATTTGTCACCTAAGTTTTTATATTGTTTTAAATGCTTAAAGCATTTGTTATTCATCTGCAGGAAGATGTATGTCCTTGATTTTTAGCTTAGATTCCCAGATCTCCTTTTTAATGGTTTTACTTCTTCGTTTTAGGAAAAAAATGGGACTTTGGTTTTTTGTATTTTTCCTCTTCTAGTTGGGTCTAATTTCGATGCAGGAAGTACTTTTGCAGTTCTTCAGTCTGACTGTGAGTGAGAACCAAGCTATTACACTGTAACTTCACTCCCTATTGTGTGGGAAGTAAGAATTGCATCATCCCTAAGATCCAGAACAGGAGATGAAGATCCCTTCTTGGTGGGTGCGGTCCATGATTTTGTAGTCAATCTTTCAACCAAAGTAAGAGCTCCTTTTGTTTTTATTCATTTCTTCTCTCTTCTGTTTCCCTCTCTTCCCCATAAAACTCTTTGTGAAAGACCAAAAACAGAAACAACAACAACAACAACAAAAAAAAAAAACCACCCAACTTTTAGTCTAGTAGTAGGTATTTTAAATTTTATGCTTAAATATTGTAAATATCTCATACTTCTGCAATTCAGTTTTTACCATCTAAGCAGCTGTCTTTATTCCCCTCTTCACGTATGAGTATCAGGGCATTAGGTATTCCCAACAGATGTTAAGAGCATGACAAGTTATAGAAAACATAAAAAGCAGGCATAGAAACTTTGATTCAGAGTACCTCAAGTATTGTTAGTACCCAAACTATAGACAAATGCTACTTTTTGGATATCGTTAGCTAACAGCTGCTCTTAAATTTAAATTCCAACAAATTGCTTAAGTTATTTTGTGATGCAAGTCTTTGTTCTGGTGAATACGTTGACCAACTAATAAATACAAATTCTGCCTTCTTAACAAGGCAGAAGGCCATTAGCAAACAGACATTGAAGGAAAATCTGTATTAGCCTCTACTAAAACTGAAAGCCTACTGTAAAAACAGCTGAAGAAAGTTACGGACACTTAAGTTTACAGACCCCTAAAACAGCGTGTCACTCTATGAGACATTTTAAAAAAAAGTCATTCAAAGGCACACTAAATTGTTCAACTGGGTTAAAATATCTTAACAATGAAATTCCCATTAGCATTATTGGCAGTGCATCCTTTGGCTGTTTATTAGTGTTTTATGCAGGAGCTTCTGGAAGAGGCTGGTGCCCTTGGATAAACAGGTACGTGGATTTGGGAGGGAGAGGAGAGAGGGGAGAGGGGAGGGTGAGGAGGGTGAGGAGGGGTGAGGAGGGTGAGGAGGGGTGAGGAGGGTGAGGAAGGGTGAGGAAGGGTGAGGAGGGGTGAGGAGGGTGAGGAGGGGTGAGGAAGGGTGAGGAGGGGTGAGGAGGGTGAGGAGGGGTGAGGAGGGGTGAGGAAGGGTGAGGAGGGGTGAGGAGGGTGAGGAGGGGTGAGGAGGGTTGAGGAGGGGTGAGGAGGGGTGAGGAGGGGTGAGGAGGGGTGAGGAGGGGTGAGGAGGGGTGAGGAGTGTGAGGAGGGTGAGGAGGGGTGAGGAGGGGTGAGGAGGGGTGAGGAGGGGTGAGGAGGGGTGAGGAGGGGTGAGGAAGGGTGAGGAAGGGTGAGGAGGGGTGAGGAGGGTGAGGAGGGGTGAGGAGGGTTGAGGAGGAGTGTGAGGAGTGTGAGGAGGGTGAGGAAGGTGAGGAAGGTGAGGAGGGGTGAGGAGGGGTGAGGAGGGGTGAGGAGGGGTGAGGAGGGGTGAGGAAGGGTGAGGAGTGGTGAGGAGTGGTGAGGAGGGTGAGGAGTGTGAGGAGTGTGAGGAGGGGTGAGGAGGAGGGTGAGGAGGGGTGAGGAGGAGGGTGAGGAGGGTGAGGAGGGTGAGGAGTGTGAGGAAGGGTGAGGAAGGGTGAGGAAGGGTGAGGAGGGTGAGGAGGGTGAGGAGGGTGAGGAGGGTGAGGAAGGGTGAGGAGGGTGAGGGGAGTGAGGGGAGTGAGGGGAGGGTGAGGAGGGGTGAGAAGGGTGAGGGGAGTGTGAGGAGGGGTGAGGAGGAGTGTGAGGAGGGGTGAGGAGGGTGAGGAAGGGTGAGGAAGGGTGAGGAAGGATGAGGAGGGAGGGGTGAGGAAGAGGGTGAGGAAGAGGGTGAGGAAGAGTGTGAGGAGGGAAGGGTGAGGAGGGTGAGGAGGGGTGAGGAGTGTGAGGAGGGGTGTGAGGAGTGTGAGGAGTGTGAGGAGTGTGAGGAGGAGTGAGGAGTGTGAGGAGTGTGAGGAGGGTGAGGAGGGTGAGGAGTGTGAGGAGTGTGAAGAGGAGTATGAGGAGGAGTGTGAGCAGTGTGAGGAGTGTGAGCAGTGTGAGGACTGTGAGGACTGTGAGGAGTGTGAGGAGGAAGGCGGCCGGGCAGGACAGGGCGCTCCGCAGCCGTACCCGCCGCTCTGCAGCCGCCCCGTGCGCCGGCGGGGCCGCGCATGCGCAGCGCGCGGCGGTGTGGGCGGTCGCGCGTCGGCGGCGAGCGCCGCGTCCAATGGGCGCGCGGGGCGTGCGCGGGGCGTGCACGCGCTGGGGGGGGGTCGGTCACCTGACGGCGCCCGCCGCAGTCGGGGCCGCAGCCGCAGCCGGAGCCGGAGCCGGGAGCGGCGGGGCCCGGGCGGGACGGGACCGGACCGGACCGGGTGAGGCGGCAGCGGTGCTGCTGCTGCCCTCCGGCCCGCGGCGGCGGGCACCGAGGTAAATAAAGCCGAAGCGGCCGCCGGCGGGAGCGTGCGAAGGGTTGGCGGCGGGGGTGGTGAGGCGGCAGCCTTCGGGCGGAGCGGAGGGCGCGGTGAGGCGGGGGTCGCAGGGCCGGTGTCGGCGGTGCGGCCTTGTCTCGTTCTCTCGGGCCGGGGCGGTGGCGGAGGCTTCGTCAGCTTCGTCAGCTTCGTCAGCTTCGTCAGCGGCGGCTTTCCCTCGGCGGTGCCTCGCTGAGGGTGTTGCCCCTTCCCCCGAGAGCGCTCCCGGCTCGGTGCCCCGGTGTGCAGCGGTGCCCTTGTGCCCCACGCCGCGCTCCCGGCGCTCCCAGGGCCAGCTCAGCCCCGCCGGGAGTCAGCCGCTCTGCCGGGCTGTGAGGCGTTTGTTTCCCTTTGGGGGCAGACGGCGAAGGGTCTGTTTTAGACTGTAAACAACGAAATACAAATCCTGTCCGTCCTGCTCGCTGCGCTGAGATCCTTCGCGTGTTTTGGGGCTTGGTGGAAATGTAGTAATCACAAAAGAGCGGTTACCTATTTTAGCCTGACAGTAATCCCAAAATCATCTGCAGCTCGGTCTTCCAAATCCTTATTAAACTAAAAAAGGAGGGAGAAAGTGTTCTAGTACTGGAACTGTATGTCGAGTGAATTTTGACAGGTTAATTTGAGGCACTTGAGGAAGGCAGTTTCTCCGTGTTGAAAAACATCTGTCTGCAGTAATGGAGTAATTGCCATCCAGAAGCACTGTAAATTAAGGTGATGCAGCACTCAGAATGCTCTAGCATACAGAGTTGGTTCTTTAATCTCAAATATTGCACCTCACAGCAAGAAAAGAAAGGAGTATATTACTGTCAACATGATGAGTATGAATTAGACCACAAAATAAGATTTGTAATGCGAGTTTAACTTTAAAGATTACTTAAATAACATAATTACTCTTGGATGCCCTAACTCAAGTGAGTAAGCCTTGTATGTACCTTAGCAAGCAGTGAGGCCCAAAGCAGAAAGATTTGCAAAGAGAAACAGTTGTCACTTATAACTGAATACCCGCTGTGTTTTTCAGAGGGATTCTAAATCTCTTAGTATTTGAAGTTCTTGAGAACTTCTAGAGTGTGTTTTCCAATTTACTTTAAAAAAGAGCCTACTCTTGTTGTCTGGGTTTGTCTTGTGATGTGAATGAAAGCATGATAAATGGGGTGTTTGGGAAGTTTGCTTCACTAGCACACTCCTGATTTTAACCAAAATGCTGAAGTACAGCTTTAGCTTCCATCAGCTGTATCTTTGAGTTTATGTGTAAAAATGTGGAAGATCTGAATGCGTTAAATGTTTAATTGCTTTTAATAGGTTCTAATATTCTTATGCAAAGGATATTTCAAACACAATTTTTTTATTATAGAAATGGTCTAGTATTAAAACCCATACCCTTTACCTGATCCTTTGGATCAGGTTGGCACTCTTGTTAGGTGTAGAATAGACAGGTCTTTGCACATGAGTTCTGTAAGTCCCAAATAACTCTGCCCTGTGGTTCAGGGAAACACAGCTCAACAAATTTCCTTGTCATTGTCATCCCCACCTTCCAAGTTTGATAATCACTGTATTTCTTTAAACACTTAATGGGTTTTCTTTTAACCATAGTCCTGTCTTTTTGTGCTGGGCGTGCTGGTGTGGAGGCAAAGAAGAGTGGCAGATCAGTTTGAGTCTGAATGCTGGGATTTTAATTGTCCTGTAGAATTCAACCACTGAAAGTTTCATGGGGGAGGTTTTGGGGAGTAGGAGACAACACTGTGGTATTCATAATGTGAATCCTGTTTATATGTAGTCCTTAGTTGAACCAGAGGTGGTGTGTTAGTTGATGCAAGTGTGGGTAGGAACAAAACATTGAGTGAGCCAAAATTAACTGCTGAACCAATCATTAAGTCGTGCAGATTCAGCCTAGTGTGACCACAGTGGGGATAATGTGTGAAGATCCACCTGCAGATTTCCCTGCCCACACCTCTAATTCAGAGGTAAGCAGTCTGGAGAGGGGACTAAAAGTGATGGAAAGGCTTATTTTGCTGTAACAAATCAAAGGCTGCAACGCAAGTCACTCTGTTTCCAGTAGTGTTTTTTGGTTAAGTCACTCTTAAGGATGGAAGGAAGTTTTCTTGTTAAGTATGAAGGGAAAATGTAGTATTTGGTATAAAAGTGAGTTACAATGTCAGAATAAGGCTCAACTGACCAATCAGCTACTGAAGCTTTAAAAAGGGGAAAGTGTGCTGTGAAGGGTAAATTAACTTTAGAAGTATTGTTGAAATACAAATAAATTGAGTTTAATTATTAAACATACATTGGAGAGTGTGAGAGGTGTAGCCTAGGGTATCAGTAACTAAATGTCTTTAAATGAGAGCCTGTGTCTTAAAGAATATTTAATTAATGTTAGAAATTGTGTTGAGATACTTTGTGAATTACTTTATTTGAACTGTCAACATAATGTTTGTAGGTGTTTGGATTCAGTCTTGGCCCATTGACAAATACTATGATAAGTAAATATATGGCACTTGCTTGCCCTGTTCATGCTACTTTTAAGGTCATCAAATCACAGAATCCTGGAGTGGTTTGCCTTCTCTTCTCCCTCAGCACCCCCAGCTCTCCCAGCCTGTCTCCAGAGCAGAGGGGCTCCAGCCCTCAGAGCATCTTCGTGTTCTTCTCTATCCTTCTGATGTTGGGGTCCCCCGAGCTGGAGATCAGTATTTCATGTGGTAGCATCCCAAAAATGGTTATTTACAGGTCAGCTAGTAAGATCATGTCTTTTGACATCATATGTCAGATAGGAAATAGTCTACAGTTTCAGGATGGGGAGACTGAGACAGTTTGATGTGATTTGATGGAGATCTTTACTAGTGCTACTACCTGAAACTTGGTTTAGTGATTTTTTTTTTTTTAAGTTCTATTATTATATCTTGCTAGTTCTGATTAACCGGTGCTGTTCTGTTTTCATATAAATGTTTCGGAAGTTCTTTCTGATTTATGTCTAAAATATTTGCAGTTTCTTTCAGTTTCACATACTGTGAAGAACAGTTGTGGAAACAAATCAAAGTTAAACAGATAATGCCAGAAATTAGATTCTAAATACAATTTCCAAACAATTTTCTTTGACTTGGCAGTATAGCTGTTTCACAATTCTAGCAGCTTGTTTCTTGTGTCCTTCTATGTACATTAAATGGTTAATTTACTATTCATCATAAATATTTTGACATATATACTTGTAAATGGATTTTGATAGTTATTCAGATGAAGTTATTCATGTGGTTTAACTGTAGCAATGAGTAGAATATGTAGCTCTAAATACAAAGGTGTTTGTCCTTTAAGCAAAGGCAGGAGTTGACAGTCAATTTTAATTGTGCATGCTTTACTTATTCTAAGTGAATATTTTATTATCTAACTTAATTCTTATTTAAGAAAAATTAAAACTATTTTTACTTGTATTTTTGGGGTGTTGTTTGTGGTTATTTTTGTTGTTAAGTGCTCTGGGTTTGTTGGTTTTTTTTTTTTTTAAGTTCTTTAGAAAGTCTGTGCATTATTATCTTTCCAGAGCAATTGTCTGTGAATACCAGCCCAACTGAAGGGCTGTAAATGATGAAATTTTTCAGAGGAGTCTCTGAAATCTCCAGACCTGTTTCATTTTTTTAGCAGTGGAACAAACCAAATCCCACAATGTGATTTTTTATCCCCGATCCAAAAATTAAACAGTTAGCGTCATCTAAAATAATGGGAAACTGCAGAGTAGTTTGGGGGTTGTGTCATCCTCTGGGGGAAACTTTTTAAACTTCTGTTCTTTGGAAAATGTCTATGGTTACATAGTATCAATCTCTCTTTTTGCTTTTAAAATCGTGGCTTCTGGAGGCTTGTGACTACCAGCCTTCTCAGGATCTCTCCTTCCCATGTCCCAGTTTCTCATATGGCTTGCAAATACTGAGAAAAAAGTGTGTATTCAGCCTTAAAACCTGGAAAACAAATTAAGACTTAGCACAGACTTAAGACTTGACAGACTTCCCGTGATTCTTTTTAATACTCACTTGTGACTTGACAAGAGTCAAAATGCAGTGTTTAAAATTATGCTACAAAAATACAAACCAGTAATTTAAAAAAATCTCATGTAGGTAATTAATTTGTGAATAATGTCTTCCATGTGTTGGACTAATAAAGAAGACAATTTAGAATTATGACTCTGCTAATAACTGAAGATTAAATATACTTTCTTGCTAAAGGAGAAAGCATTGTTCTTGGGCAGCAAAGCTTGCTTTTTGCTTTTCTATTGCTTTTTTCTTTTGCAGTCTTTTTGAAGATGAAGCAATGAACATGCACACTAAAATGCTTATTCATTCTTTGTCAGCACAATGTGAATCAGCAGCTATTAACCACTGCAGGCATTCATCTGTAATATAACTATTTCCTTAAAAGGAGAGATAGCTAGGGGCAAGGACAGAGAGATAAAACTGTAGGAAAAAAAAGCCTTTGCAGTGTGTTTTGAATGAGCTGTGTCTTATCTAAACTGTCTTGTTTTAGCAGTAGTAAATGACAGTTGTTGCTTTGGACTTCACATCTGTGGATGACAGAACTTTTTTTGTAGGCTAAAGTAAATGTAAATGTCAACCCTAAAAAACTGATGGAATTACTGACCTGCTAGAACTTACTCAATAGATCAGCATAACAGGAGTAGCACACCAAGAGTTTTGTTTTCTCCAGGCTATATTTTTGAGGGTCTACAATTGTATTTTTACCAGCTGAGGAATTTGTAGTGTTCAAATAACACAGATATTTTAGAAGCATGGTGCTAACTGAACAGACCTTTATTGTCTGCTAGATGATAAATTTATCTTGCTGGTTTTATCATTTTGGTGATGGCAACTGAATTTACATCTGAGTGCCCAAGTTCAAGCAGCTTAGAGAGCAGTGACAGCCAAGGTGTGTCCTGCCTGGGTTCTGCAGAGCTTTGCTCTCTGCTCTCTCATCTCAGAACTTCACTGGTGTATATGTGACACTTACTGCAATTGCTAGAGAAGATTGATACCCAGTGAATAAGCTGGATGCTTATTCACTAAAGAAAGACTAAGGAACGGGTTTTGTCCTTGGATTTAGCACAAAGAGTGAAGATTGTAAAATGTAATTAGCTGTTTTTCCTGAAAGTCTAAGTCTTCAAAGTAGTAAAGATATGACTGTCATTGATATCCGTGGGTTTCTGTGCTCTGATTTAATATTTTTAATGACACTTGAAACATTCAGAATGTTCAAAAAGCGTTTTGGTAAATATATATACAAATGTGTGTGCTTTTGTCACCTTTAATGACAATTTGATGCCTTTTAGCTTCCTTCAACTCTTCCAGGACACTTGTTTGTCCACAGAAAGTTGAGTGTCCTCTTATATGTGGTGGTGGTGCTGAGCTTGGGTGAAAGTTTGTCTGCCTTGTGTGAGATTTTTGTGTGGATGAGGAATACATCGCACTATTGTGAGTTCTACTGTGGTGTGCTGTTCCTACTCTTGTATTCTACCTGCGCTGGGTACATTCCTCAACAATGTTACCTGTTTTACTACTATTTTTCTTCTGTAACTTAGCAACAGCAATTCCATATAGCTTTAGCTTTACCTGGCTTCAACCATTATGATTCTCATCTTTGGAATACGTTTTTTTTTTAATTGTCAATGGGGAGACTTTATGGTTTCCTGAGGATCTGCACCAAGTGACTCTCTAAAGCAGAGACTGTGGTGGAAGGAAGTAAAGGATTTTATATCTACCTTTATTCTCCAGTCAGCTAGTAAAGAGCAGTAATTACCAGGTGTAAGCAATCAGATGAGCAAACCTGCAGCCTAATTTTAAAGTACTGTACACTCACTGTACCTCACTACTACCTTCCTGTAATAATGTAATGAATGACTGAATGCATGAGAAAAATGAGCCTTGGATGAGATGTGCGTTTTACAATGAGTCCTGATAAGCATCTTGCTTTGGTCTCTATACTGTATACTAAAACAAATGTGTATTCCTTTTTTAAATGGGTTGCAGTCCCGATTTCCATTAAGAGAAGTATTTATACAGTCTTTGGAAATAAATAAATACATAGATAGATATAGTCATTTCGATGGAGAGATGTCTAAATTTACTGAAGATATGGTGATTTTGCAGGTAACTGTTGGGCATAGTTTTCATAATTGTATACTAGTAGGGCAGAAAAAATGGAGTTACTGCTCTTTGATAAAGCAGAATAAAGTTTTATAGCTGGTACTTAGGAGGAAATATTTTTGTCCTTATGCAAAACATTATTTATCTCAAGATCACTGATAAAGAATGAAAACTTCATAGTAGGAGGCTTGGGTGTGTTCTCAAAGCAGAACCTGATTGGTTGTGCTTCAAGTTCATGTAGGTTTTATACTAGCATGTGTGTATGCTTATGTTCACGAGCTTTTTTAATTTTCAGTCTCCAGAGTATGAGGTTATTAGGTGTGCAGGGTTTCAGGTGAGAGGAATTTGAGGAATGTTCACACTACTAGTTTTCTTCCACAAACTGAGGATTTGTAGTAAGTGAGCTCTCATGATGTTCCTTCTTTAATCCTTCCAACCTGTAAGAACTATATTAAGTTTTGGAAGATCTTTTTGGATTCTGCATATTTTATATGTTAATGTCTGTTACAAGTATCTTAAATAATATTCTTGTATGCTTTTTTTTTTAACATCTTTTGCATTTAGTCACATGGTTGCTGGCACGTCCTTTTTGAGCAGTGATTTCCACATACAGTCATCTGCTTGTGGAATACTTTTCCAAGTTATCTGTGCTTACTTTTAGTTTTCCTCGATTGAAGGTTACTTTTAAAATACAAATAGCATTATAGGAGTTTTATGCTGCTTTCCAAATATATGATTTGTTGTTGTTGTTTGTAGTATGAGTTTTCCTTTTTAATACCTGAGAGTGGAAAAAAGAGCCTGATAAGTAATAATTGTAGAAAATTAAATTACGTAAAATTGTCAGAAAAGCCTAGAAGGCCTATCCTCATGGCAGTTGCAGCACAAACTTGTAAGCTTAATTGAATTGTTTTCTCCACTTCATGCCTTTTCCCCTCTTCGTCCACCGATTCGTAAATAAAACGAATTTTAAGAATTCTGAGTGCTCTAGAAGAACAGTTGTAGTAGAAGAGAAATTAAACCATTTACAGAAGAGATGTACTTTTTCTCTTTGCTGTGACAGCAAGCGTTCTTGTTGTGGATGTGTGTACAAGAAATCTAGTTACAGAGAAATTACTTTGTACTCACACTGCTGTAGAAAATCTGGTTGGCTGTCATGACAGATACTATCATAAATGTGATACCCTGCCCTTATTACACAGGGAATTCTGGAAAACAGAATTCAGACATTCACAAGTTTGACCTCTTGTTGACCTTGTTATTTCTTAAGTGTAACAGCTTTTTACAGTGGTTGCATTTTCTCTTTCCCATCTCACGCTTTTGTTTTCACTATCATTTTCAGTTTTCTGATGCTTTACCTTTGGATTTCTTTTTATTGTATTTGAGTGCCTAAATTTTACAAAGACTGAGAGGGATTTAATTTTTGAGTGTAGTGTAGGGGTGGTATTTTTTTTAGTTTTGTGGGGTTTTTTTAAAGGTTCTCTTAAAGTTTGAGATGCTTATTAAATGCTGTGTGTTATATTATGGATACCTCAAACTTGTCATGCTGTTTAAATATAGAGGGAACATAACTTGGCTGATGAAGTTCTCACAATTACGATTCTGTCAGAGTAAAGTGTTAAATGGAGTTATGCTCAAACTAAGGATTTCATTCACTTCTCAAGAAACAGAAGGTAGTGTTTCAGTGTTGAAAGCTTTTTTTTTTTGGCAGCTGAAACGTTGGAAGCTTTCCCTCCGTGCCCCAAGTAGTCCACAAGCTGTTTTGAAAGGATGGCGTGTGCCTCACAGAGATAAGTGAGAAGGAGGGTTAACTCTTCTCTGCATTAATTTGTTTGTCTATACAAATAGAAATAAACTAGTGATCCTTGTAGCATTCTGTGCTATGGAAGTGTAATGAACTGAACTGGATATTGGAATTGATTATTTTATCAGGAAAAACCCAAAAGCAGCAGATATGGTAAGTGTTGTCTCTCTGAGGGCTCTTTCTTCAAAGATGATAGAAAAAAGAGCGCTTTAAGGCTTGTCTTTTACTGTAGTCTCCCTCATGAGTTTTGCCTAAGAGTTCACTCAGAATGTGTCCTTGTCTATAATTCTCCTCTGTGCTCCCCACCACTGTGGATGTAGTCTTCAATTTTTCTGGTTTGTCCTCTATTCCATTTTGGGGTTTTTCACCTTTTAGCAAATACAGAGTTATACTTCATTAAACTCCATGTGCTGTAAGATGTGAGCAATATGATAAGTTAGGGTATAGAGCAATCCAGTTAGGAATATATAATTTATATTGCACTGGTTGCTTCTCATAAGCTCTTATAAAAATAGAATTTAATGAATAGCAGTTCCATGAGGAATTATTTTGTTCCCATGTAAATTGACTGGAAATTAAATATTTCCTAAGTTAATGAATCTGTAGTTTTGTTATTAGGTATATGAAAGCATTTAAACTATTTCCTTCCAAAAATAAGCCCTTTGGGATTAACAGTGCATAGTTTATGGCACTTTTCTCTACCGCTTCTTAGGGGGAAAAACTCAGGTTTGTGGAACTTTAGAGATTTTTCTCCTCAAAACTTCTATTTTCACCATACATTTGTACATTTTGTTGGTGAAGTTAAGCATACAGTGTTCTATATAAAGGGAGTGGGAAGGACAGGTAATGCTGATGTGCTCTGCACTTCACTGGGGTCCAGACTAGTGCTGTGCTGCTATTGCCACTGGAAATGGGGATCTTTTTCTTCCCTCTTTCTGTTCTAAAGGTTACTCAAAATGCCTGTGTGCCATGAAAACAGCTTGAGCAGTGAGTAACCAGGAGCACAGCTGGCAGCGTGCTTGCTTTTTCCACAGTATGTTTAAATACATCCATGCCCTCTCCTCTCCCCATGTTGTGAAAGTTTCCCCACACCTGAAACCTGAGGATTTGCACTGGCTACAGTTTTATTATTGTTGGGAGCTGGCAGATGGTAACAAACTCCGTTGAGCAATAGAGCGATGAGGTAGTTCCATGTCAGCTGAAGTGAGTCTCCACAGCTGTGCTCATTTACAGGAACTCTGGGGTCAAGTGTAATCTGAATGCTTGGTTTGTTAAGGTATAATGTGACCTAGTAGTGCCATATTTTCTTTAAAGGATAGCTCCAAATCTGACTTAAGTGGTTTCTTGATCGAGCAAGGACACTTCTTAATTTTTTTTCTTCCTTTTAATTGGAAGAAGGGCTAAATTGAAAGTGAAATACAGTGTAAAGATCAGATTTTGAAATACTTTCAGACTTTGCACTCTCAAGCAGAACTGCCTTCTCCCTAGCCTTTCTATTTTTCTGCAAATTTAAGAATCGTCATAACAATTACATATGAGTTATATATTTCGAAGTTTTAAATATTGTATAACTTTAACTGTTGTTTATTATCCAATTAATATTGTTATTTGAGAACTTTGTCAGAAAAGAGACAGTTTTCCATTGCCAGGTGATCTGAATCATAATGATCCATTGGGAAAGCAAACTTGTAACAAGTATGACAAATCAAGTAGTCATGAAAGAAAAGGGGAAAAAAGTTTGCGTTAAGGCAGTTGGAGAATTCAAATTTAAAAACAAAACAGCAACATACTAGAAAATCAGGGTATTTTACCAATGCCTCATTGGTTTAGCTGACAAAATACTTCTGAAAGAAGACAGAACACATATATTTTAGTCTGAATTTGGTGAATCAGTAAACAGAAGAAGCTTGCATAGTATTTTGGTGAATTTTAGTTTAATGCATTTGTTTTATTTCTCTTTATATTTTCATAGTGTTGGAGTTAGAAGATATAAATTACTAAGAGTGAAAGCTTAGATAATTTCTAGGTGTTACTTTAAGTTTATATCTCCAAATCACTTGGCTAAGAAAGAAGTGTTCTTTATTGCCGGAGTCCATTTTTTGGTCTATGAGTCTATTAAAGGTGTGTTAAGATATACATATCAAGGTTGGGGTCTTGTAAATAGTCACAAGCATGTATTTATTTGAAGTACTAATTTGAAGAGGAATTAGACAAGGACAGTGCACGTTGAACATGCTGGTTCCTGTTGGCCATGACTTTCAGGGGTGCCTTGTTTCTTTGCTCCCCCAGGTCTGAAGTACAGAAGCATGCTTTCCACTGAGCCTCACACCACCACCTGTGATACAGAATGTCTCTGAGTGAGAACAACAGCGTGGTGTTTGCCTATGAATCTTCAGTGCACAGTACCAATGTCCTCCTCAGCCTTGATGACCAGCGAAAGCAAGATATCCTTTGTGATGTTACCATTTTAGTGGAAGATCAGCGATTTCGGGCTCACAGAGCTGTGCTTGCAGCTTGCAGCAGTTACTTCCTTTCGAGAATTGTGGGCCAGGTGGACGCTGATCTTATCATCACTTTACCGGAAGAGGTGAGTGTCACTCCCTTCTGCATTTTACCTGCTTCTAATCTGCTTTGCTCAGTTCTCTTTTATGGTCGGATGGGGTTTAACTGATGATTTAGAGTAGGGGATTTAAGAGCTGAAAGACACCAGCCCACAATCTGGGGTACCAAAAATATTTTTTGGATTCAAGTACTTCATATATATTGTATTGTAAAGACTAACTGCTGTCATCTTTGTCTGGGGTCTGTTGGTTTCTTGCCAGTGTTTTTATTCTTTGGCTTTCATCCCAAATAAAAATTAAATAAATTACTACTGCAAGAGTTGCTTTTCTAGGTCAGTCACATGAAGAGTGTTTCTACGATTTTTTCTGGTTTGAGTATAGCTAGCTAGAAATATGTAAGAGAAAGTGAAAGGAGTAGAGCATTTTTCCCCTCTTGATCATTGCAAGTTTTGCAGTGTTTCTCCCTTAAATAGAAAGAAGGTACCATTTTAAAATATCACTGTATTTTTTTCTTTCAGTTTCATTTATGAATGCTACTTATTTGTAAAGCCACTTTAATGTTTTTTTAACTACAGTAAGTCGAAAGACATGTTGACAGTTTATGGATAAACTGTCTTTTACATTCTACTTCCCCACATTATAAAGGATGAACTAATGTGGTGGTGTAATCTCCAGAGCATATTTCAAATGGTATTTTAAGAATCCTTTAGGAAGATTGTAAGAGTTTACAGAGAGTTTTAAAGGACTGGGCTCTTTGCAGATCTCATCAACATCCCTTCATGTGTTGTGTTCTTTAAAAAGAACATACCAAACAACTACTAAAAACACCAAAGTAAACAAACCCTCAACTGATTCTTAAATTGAATTACATGAATAATTCATTCTTTTGCTGGCAGACGGATTCAGTGTAGTTAATGCATTGATATAGTGCTTTATTTAGCATAAAATGCTGGTCATTTCAGTAAAGGCAGGGAGCAGAGTATGGACTTGGGTTTGAGTATTAATAGTGGACATAATGCTTTATTCTTCATTTGTAGAGAAAGGGCTAAAGTGAGTCATGTAGTTGGTAATGTGTTTGTGGCTTTCTACTTGATTCCTTAGACATTTTTTCATGCGCAGTTTCTAATGATACAGTTCTTGTTTGTCTCTGGGTTCCTTGATAGGCAAGTGTTGTGAGGGCATAAATGTTCAGTTAAAATCACTTGCTCTAAAGGGGCTTTAAACTGCGAATTCTGTTTGGTGTGCAGTTTTTGAGTGCCTTTCTTCAAATTCTATGGGAGGAAGAAAGGAGTGGGTGGCTGTAGTAGGAAATAATCATATATGGTCAAACTCCATTTCTTCAAATTTTTTTGCATCAGTGGTGCATAAGACTAAGTAATTGACAGTAATTGCTCTTCAAAAACTACAATTAAATACCAGCAGCATACTGTAGAGTAGTTAGTATACAACTTGCTTTGAAATATATCTTTGTGAAGTTGGAATCTAGTTACTGATTTTCAGCATACAGCAATATTTTCCACTTTCAGTACTGCGTTGCCAGAACGTTTTATTAAGAGACAGATCATAGTAAAGAAAACTTTCAAAAGGTGCATGATAAAATTCTATCAGAAGAATTGTTTCAGAATTAGTTTGACCAGGTTTTCACAACAGAACCATTCTGCTGCTTTTGTTGTGTGCTCTGTCCTGCTGACAAGACAGGTGGAATTTTTCTGCTTAAACCCAATTTGACTATACTAATGTTTTTTTCACTTGTTTTTGTAATAGGTAACACTTAAAGGATTTAGTCCCTTGCTTCAGTTTGCATATACGGCAAAACTTGTTTTAAATAAAGACAATGTGTCTGAAGTTTGCAAATGTGCAGAATTTTTGGGTGTACGCAACATTGAAGAATCCTGCTTTCAGTTTCTCAAATTCAGATTTTTGGACTTTAAATTGGATCAGCAGGAATGTCCTAGGAAGAAGTGTTGCACACAGCGTTGTCAGAAAGCAAACCCTAAAACTGGCAATGTGGATGATGGCGACCTAGAAATAAATTATGAAGTAGAAGCACTTCTAGAAAAGGAATATAGTCAAATTCCTGACACAAAGCCCTGTAAAGATGAAGAAAATGCTAAATCGTTGCCTGTTCTCCAAAATAATGCAAATCAAAACTGTGATCCTGTACATTTAGAAAGGGGTAGTGCTTCCAGCTTATCTTCCCAATGCCCAAAGTATAGAAAATTTCAGAAGGCCTTTGGAAATGACAAAGTTAATACTTCAGAGTCCAATTCCAGTACTAAAGACGTTCAGGTACCACCATTTGCAACTTCTCTTGAGAAGGAAATACCTGACAATGATGGCATACAAAAAGCTCAGGAGTGTGTGCCTATGCAGCTGATCTCAAACTGTGAAGAGACTCAGGTAGAAATGGAAGAAGGGGAAGAAGGCATTCAGAAAAAAGAAGAGTCAAAGAGAGATTCTGTAACTCGGACTGTGTCATGTCCTGTGGAGAAAATGGATCTTGCTGCTTTCCCCCAAAACTCTGCTACACCTCATGGACTCAATTCTGTGTCTATTTCACATAGTTGTGAGCAATATGGTAACCTGAATTTCAGTGGTGTGCAAAACAACACAGTCTTAGCTGAAAAAACTGTGTCAAGTACTGGAGCTGGAAATGACAAAACTGAAAGTCAAGGTAACCCATCTTCAAAGGTGGATTTGTGCATTAGGGAAGCAGCTAACATCACCTCAGCTGGAGATCGAAGCAGTGTGGAGAGAGAGATAGCAGAACAGCTAGCACAGGGGTTCTGGAGTGATATTCACAGCACAGATGCCTGTCAAATACACATGCCACCTGCAGTTTCTAAAGAGTACTTGGAGCCTGTGTATTCAGGGAAAAAATCAGAGTGTCCATGGCTGGGGATCAGGATCAGTGAAAGCCCCGAGCCTTGCCCTCAGCGAACTTTTACAACACTGAATTCCGTCAACTGCCCCTTTATAAGCAACCTTAGCACTGAAGGATGCTCCAACAGCTCTGAAATAAACAGTGGAGATTATGTTCAGGGACAGCAACAAGAACAGTGTCCCTATAACTATGTGATAAGTTTGGGAGAGGATTCAGAGACTGACACTGAGGGAGACAGTGAATCGTGTTCAGCAAGAGAACAAGAATGTGAGGTAAGGACATCCTGATGTATCCTTTGCTTCCCAGTCTTTTAAGGCCATATTCAAACATCTGAGTTTTCTGTGTTTTGTTAATTTGGGGTTTTTTTTTCTGTGGCTGCTTGTTTTTAAAAGTCTGGAACTGAAACTTTAAATAACCATTCAGAATATTATATGGAAAGTCAGTGTTAATTCAGGGAGACTGAATAAAAGTATGGAAGTATTTTTGGTCAGATACTGAAGTGTTAGATGCTTACATATTAGATCTTCTAAGATTTTTTTCTGGAACAACTGTCAGAAAAGGTTGTGAGCCTTAAATCAAGTCATGAAGGTTTGTTCTTAGATTTTTTTTTTTCTTTTATCTGCTTCGGTTTAAAGTTTAAGAAAACTCTAAACTTCTTGGAACCTTCGTTTAATAGAAACTTGGAACCTTTGTTTAATAGAAACTTACCAGTTTTTTTGACTTTATTCTGAGCTGTGGGGTGAAGGTGGGAGAGAAATGATACTTCATATTTAATGTGAAGTGAAAATTAAGCTTTTAAGCTAGCTTCAGTAGCTGTGTATTTAAGACTGTTTAATAATATCACCTTCTCTTACATTAAGTGATATACCTGAAACAATTTCCATATCAGTTCTTAGTATCATAGAATTGCAGTGTAACTGCATGATGGATCATTCCATGTTACAAAAATTCAGTTGTTCTTAGAGCACTAGGATTTTTGTCGTTCAAGATGCAGGGCCTTACTGAGACTGAACATAAGTGGAACCTGCCATCAATACAAAAAATTTGGAATACTAAACAAAAGGCCAGAATTGGTTAAATACTTCCTCGCCTTTATGTGACAGAGGAGGTAGTATCATTGCTGAGGACAGTACTCTAGGGTTTTTTTTATTATTTTTTGCCTGTTTGTCGCCAGTAGTGGCCAATCAGAGAAAAGATTTCTGTGTTCTTTTTAAACTAAATTCAGATCTTTGACGACAGCAAAGTAATATATTCTCCTACTTACTATACTCAAATGTAAGGATTAAAATAAAATGTCTTTAGTGGTTACTCAAAAACATGATGATTAATTTTCTAAAGGTAAATGTGTTTTTCAGTATTAATCGACATTTTGTGGTCTCAAATACTTTTGTAGCTCAGGTATACAACAGTAGCAATAGCCTGGTCTTCTGTCTTCTCCAACACTAAGAAATAAAAGACAAATATTGTAACTTCTGTATTTTAAGGAAATGCCTGTTTCAGATGAACTTTTTCTGCAGAAAAATAAGCATAGGTATAAAAATGTATGCAGGATGCAGTCTTAATAGCAGCTTTGGGAAAACTTCAGACTATATGAGTGAGTCTTGACAGCTGTTTTGTACCTCACCAAACTGTAACTCATCATCTTAGAGTGCATAGTTGATGCACACACAAGTAGCTTTCTGCCTACTCTGAATATGCTTGTAAGGCTTTAGTGTGTAAATGTGCAAATACTCTATTGCACCTGTGCTTGAACTCCTGTAGTTGAATCCCCTGGATTGTATCCAATCATTTGATGGTTATGTTAGTTTGCTCTTGTCTCTGAGATGTAGGAATAAAGATGAGTTGTGTGGTAAAGAATGCTTAAAATGGAAACTTGAGTTGTTGGTGTTTGTGTATATCAGTTCCACTTGGATTTACAACTGTATCTCACATTCTAGGTAAAACTGCCGTTTAATGCTCAAAGGATTATCTCACTTTCCAGAAATGACTTCCAGTCATTTCTGAAAATGCATAAATTAACTCCTGAACAATTGGACTGTATTCATGATATCCGAAGACGAAGTAAAAACAGAATTGCAGCACAGCGATGTCGTAAGAGAAAACTTGACTGTATACAAAATCTTGAATCTGAAATTGAAAAACTGGTATGTATAAATATTCATTGCTGTTGTCATGTCCTTTCTAAACATCTTGACTGTTTTTTTCTAAACATCTTGACTGGTTATCTGGCAGTAGCTTGAGAGTGGGGTGATTTACTACTTTTTCCACTCAAGCTTAAAAAGCTTTATCATTCTTCTGTAACTCCTTGATAGCAGTTCTAGATTTTTCTGAGCCTTGCTCTAAAGTACACACATCTTTCCTTCTGTGGACTTGTTTCCATTCAAATTAAACATGCATCACAACCTAATTTTTGTTGAACAATATTTCTGAAACCCATAAGCTTTGAATTTAATTGTACAGAATGATTCCCAGACTGTTATCCTACACTGCTTTTTCCCTCTTCCCCTTTCTTGCTTTGAGATTTTGTTTTTCAGCTCACGGTATTGCTCATGATCAAGTTTGCAGTTACGCAATTGTTAGTTGTGTAAGTACTGTTCTTGGAACGTATCAACATGGGCTGGCAAACTGTTTCCTGAGTGTTGAATGTTAAAAATGAGGCCCTTGCAGAAAGGCGGAAGATACAGAAGAACTTGGGAAGTTGCTTGCCTTTTTAGCAGTTGCATCAAGATTGCAGTTGAGGAATTGATGCATCCAGATTTCTCAGCAGCCATCTGTTAATATATTTTCTCCTCCTTAAGAAAGTAATAAAAAGATACGTATGTAACTTAAGAGCAATGTAGGTAATCTGAGGTTTAAGATTATGTAAAAATAGCAATGGCAAGAAGATAACTGAGTAGCTTTTCAGAAAAACAAGTCTTTGTTTGACTCTCATCTCAGTTTCATAGTTGGTCATAATCATGTGCACAAAATAGTTCAGTTGTTTAGGACTACTGTACTCCCATTCTTGTTCATGGAGCATTTTTAGGCTTGGTGTACCTGAATTTGGTATCTGCATCAGCTGGAGCATAGCAGTCATGTTGCATCTTTTTTGACTTCAAAGTGAAAAGGAAAGTAAAATTAGAGCCAAGTGCCATGGACTGGAAACTTATTTTCTTGCGGTCATGATCTTTCACTGCATCTACTCCTACTTCTGCACTGAGGAGATTGAAGAAGGTGCTCTGTGAGGGAGGGGAATCAGGTGGTTGTACTAATAATATCCTTACTGAAGAGAGAAGTTGCATTTCTGACATTTCAGAACTTTTTGCCTGGTTTTGTCATCGTGTTGTCATTTCTGTTATGTAACTCTGTCAACATTTTGCAATACTTGGGCAGGGAATTAAAGGTTGATCTGCAAGATTAGACATGTGGTTGTTTGAGACTAATAATTATAACATAATATCCTTCTTTCTGTGGACCTGTGCTGGAACAGGCTGAATGTCTGCTGTTTGACAGGTAACACTGTGCAAGGTCTAGATAATAAGTGTTGAGTCTTGAGAACTGTAAGGTGAGGTCTGAGTTATATGAATCATCCTCTAGGCACAAACATGTTCCATTTGCGGTTTTTTTTTCAACTGTGCTGATAAGTTTCTTCAGAAATTCCTGAAAAGACTGTTTTTGGAGCTGTTGACCAGGCCTGACAGGCACAGATCATCAAATTTGTATAAGCTGTAATACAGAAACAAATACAGAAACATCAAGATCAGTCTAGGCATGATTTCCAGGTGGGTGAAAGAAAAGAAGGTGTCATGGTAGGGCTATATGTGTTACATCCAGGTTGCTTCATGCATGATGACTCTTGCCTTGTGACTGTTCTCTGGGTCAGTCGTGTCTTGGACCTTTTAGACTTTGATCTTCTCATGGTATCATCTGTAATGTGGCTTTGAGAGGGAATAGAATGGTGTAGCTATAGTTTGGCAACTCTTGACAAGTAGATAATACTCTGTACTACCAGTTAGGAAATACTTTTTCACGGAATTTCTCCTCTTGGTTTTCAGTATGTGCAGCATGTTGTCTTGCATTAGTTTCTATTTGGTGCTGCTTCAGTTTTTTTCTCTCTCAGAAGATGCTTGTGGTGTGTTTCTTGGAAAAGTCCTATATTTGGAACAGAATGTCCCCTGCCTGACTAGAGGCTGGAGACTGACAGCTGGCAAGTAGCTTTGCTGACAAGCACCTGGGGGCCTGGGCAGACAGCAGGCTGAGCATGGATCAGCACCGTGTCCAGACTAAAAAAAAGGCCATCAGTGTCCTGGGCTGCAGTAACAGGAGTGCAGCCCATTGTTGCAGGGCAGTGGTTGTTACCTATCTTGGCATGTGTAGCACTGAATTGTTTGCTGGGTTTTCACCCCTCCCTGTTCCAGGAGCACATTGATAGACAGGAGGAAGGTTGGGTGAAGGCTGCTGGGATGACCAGGCCTGAAGTACTTCTGTGGTGAGAGGCTGAAAAAATGGGGCTTCTGCCTGGAAAAGGGGTGAGGAGACCCAATGGCTACCTGACCATACCTGTGGGGCAGTCCTTGAGGTTATACAGCGTTTGGTGATGGAAGATCTTCAGCTTCCTGGAGGAGTACTTGACAGCAAGACAACAAGAGACATGGTCTTAAATTACAAGGGGAATTTCATCTGAATGTAAGGAAAGTTTTTTCTTCCAGTGGGGACAGGCAGGCAGTGGAGCATTTCACCCTGAAAGGCTGTGCATGTGCTGTCTTTGAGGGTTTTATGGCATGACTGAGCAAAGCCCTGAGCAGCCTGATGTTACCTGATCTCTGACTTTGTTTTGAGCAGCGGGTCAGACTACAGACCTGCTGAGGTACCTCCCCTCACAACTGATTCTGTAAAATTGGAAATCTTATGTTAAGTTCTACTTATATTGAAGAAAAATATTGTTCAGTGCTGAATCTGTTATCTGGGAGAGTTACATGTCTTTTTGATCTTCTGTACTGATAAGGTTATTTTTTACCTCCCCATATGGCCTTTGCTTATTGATCTTTCAGGTGAATCTGGGTGTTCTTGTTGGTCACTAATGTTTATTTAACAATATTATTTAACAATAATATTTAAATGTGTTAAACTGTCAGCAGCTTCAGAAAGGGGATAAGGAGTTTATGCTGGTATAACTATTTCTGAATGTTCATGTTTGTTTTAAATAGCAGTCCAGATAATTTCATCAGTCTGTAATACATAGCTGAGTGCCTCTACATACACAAAAGGTATTAGGTGATCTGCCTAACAGAATGGGAAAGATTATTCTGATCAGTATTGAAAAACACCTGGAGGACAATGCAGGCATCAGTCACAGCCTGCAGGGCTCCATGAGGGGAAAGTCCTGCTTGTCAAAACTGATTTCCTTTTATGACAGGGTAACCCACCCAGCTGATCTAGGAAAGCCAGTAGATGTAATCCTCTTGGACTTCACCAAATCTTTTGACAGGCTCTCCCAAGATCCCTCTGAACAAAATGTCCAGCCCACAGCTGGATAAATATCATGTGGGAGAGAGCAACTGTGTCATGGGTCAGGAACAAATGGTGGCATGACTGGGGTGACATCAGGTTGGCACTGATCCCCGGTGGGGCTCTGCAGGGCTCCATCCTGAGCCGTGTGCTCCTCACCACCTTCATTAGCAACCTGCACACAGGACTCCGTGGAACACACCCTAAATTTGCCATTGACACTAAACTGGGAGGAGTTGTCAACTCCCTCAAGGGCAGAGAGACCTGGACCAAATGGAGACTTGAGCAATCACCAACTGTGTGAAGTTGAACGAGGGCAAGTGCCAGATTCTGCTCTGGGACAGGGCAACCCTGGCTGTGTGTATGGACTGGGGAATGAGGGGCTGGAGAGCAGCTGTGGAAAGGCACCTGGGGTTCCTGGTCCATGGCCAGTTGAACATGAGCCAGCAGCACCCTGGCAGCCAGGAGGGACATCCATGTCCTGGGGGACATCAGGCACAGCATCACCAGCCAGGCAAGAGGGGCTTGTCCTGCTCTGCTCTGCACTGGCACAGCCACACTTTGAACACTGTACGCAGTTATGGGTTAAAAAATTGCATTGAGCCATTGGAGAGCAACCAGAGGAGAGTCATGAGGATGGAGAAGGGTCTGAAGGGGGAAAATCTTATGAGGGGTTACTGTGGGCATTTAGTCTGTTCAACCTGGAGAAAGGGAGACTGAGGGGAGACCTCATTGAGGTCTTCAACATCCTCAGGAGGGGCAGGTGCCAATCTATTTGTGACCAGTGACAGGACTCAAGGAAACAGCATAAAGCCGAGTCATGGGAGGTTTAGGCTGGGTATTAGGAAAAGCCTCTTCCCACTGTAGGGTGGTTAGACACTGGAGCAGACTCCCCAGGGCAGTGGTCACAGCACCAAGCCTGGCAGAGCTCAAGAAGCATTTGGACAAAGTTCTCAGGCACAGGGTGTGACTCTTGAGGTATCCTGTGCAGGCCCAGGAGTTGGACTCAGTGATGGCTCCTGTCCAGTGTGGCATATTTTATGATTAACAGCTGCTCCCAGTATGCTGACAAATAGAAATTTATTTGCCAAGTCCTCTTTCTTCTAATTTTAGACAAAAAGAATTGGCAACAACTGTTCCTCTTGCTTAATCAATTATTTCAAAAAGAAGTTGTAGAGGTTTCAGTATGAGGTTTCTGTGCAAAAGGGGATGTGAGGAGGAGTGAAAATAATAAAACTTTCCAAGAGTGAATGGACAGTAGCTGTAACACATAGTCTCTATTATTAAAACTTGAAAACTACTATTTAAAGCCTTGTGTGTCTTCAAAACTCTATCTTTTAATTAATTATTTACGGAATTTGAAATGTATGTGTTGCAACATATTTGTATTTGGGTTCTTTGTCCCTTTTGTTCAACTTCTTCATGATGGTCTTGGTTGTTCCCTGTCCTTTGCCATGTCCTCATTTTTCTTTATTCAAAAAGTTGCTTGTTTCCATGATTAGACTTCTCAGTTATCAGTGTCTTTTCTTCTTTAGCCAGTTCTATCAGAAGCCTCAGAAAAATTCACAACATTGAAGCCAAATAAAAACCTGATTTAATACAGGCTACTTTTTCTACTTGACAGTTATTAGTGAGTGGCCATCCTCTTCATTGCCATGTGCTTGGACAATCCTGCTGCATTATTTCTAGGTTGTTAGTTGTTCACCACATCTTCTTTCCTTTACCTTTCTTAAATTTTCTATCTAATTTAGGAACTATACTTAACTCCACTGCTTGTCCTATAGTGGATTTGGCACTTCTTGAGAATGGAAGTTACTTTCACCTAGTGGAATAGTACCAATAATAAAAATGTCATGTTTGATTTTCAGCAGTTCAATTTTAAAATACAGATCTCTGTGAAGACTGCTTGATATTTTGTTGGCTTGTTGGTAATGGTTTGTGTTACCTTTTAGAACCAGTGTTTTAGGATTATTTACAGTAAGTGCATCTATGTTTCATTTGTTCAATAACTGCAAATTACTCCTTTCGGTACTCCATTGTCTGCCAGCGTGAGTTTGGAAAAAGCTGCAGATCTGAGAAACCACATCAAATACCTTACCTGATGATGCTTCCAGAGGTTAGGATTGGCCTTTTGATATCTGTTTGATTGTGTTGCTGCTTGCTTTGTTAATGCCAAATTACTTCTGTTCCAGCAGACCAGAGTATTTAAAGTCTTGTTTTAGCTTTGATAGGAGCCTAAACCATAGTTTTTATGTTAAAATATAGACTAAAATACGGTTTTTCTTTTTGCAGCAAAATGAGAAAGAGAATTTGCTGAAGGAAAGAAACCACATTTTATCAACTCTGGGTGAGACAAAGCAGAATCTGACTGGACTTTGCCAGCAGGTGTGTAAGGAAGCAGCCTTGAGTCAAGAGCAAATACAAATACTTGCGAAATATTCTTCTTCAGATTGTCCACTCTCATTTTTGTTCCCGAAAAGAGAACAAACAGCTCCATCTGATAGTGAGCTTGTGATATCAGCGTCTGTAGAATCAGCAAATGGTCTTTCAGGTGTCACCCCCACAGCAGAGCAGAGTTCCTGTTATCAGTGTGTCAAAAGCGTGTGTGAGGCCCCGTCCGAGCCAGTACAAGAACTGCAGCCGGTTCCTGCCAGAACGTTGGAGCAAACGTCGCTCGTGGAGCCGTGTGGACAGAGCAGTGGCATCTCAGACTTCTGCCAGCAAATGACTGACAAATGCACTACAGATGAGTGAATCTCTCCTTCTCATTGCCAGCCTCTCAACATTGCAACTAGAAGTGGGATTGAGCATTATTGGGAAGTAACTTACCAAGTGAGAAAGAAGATAAAAGTTTAATCTTTTGAAACTATCTTGACAATTACATGGTCACCATTATTACTTTGCAAGCTTTGGGTTTGCTCTGTGTAGTTCCAGAACATTATTTGTATGTGTCAGCCTTGGAGTTTTTTCTGTGTGGTGATGCCAAGGAGGGTTTAGGAAAGCTGTTATAAAGTACAAATTCCATGCACAGGTGCTTATTTGAGAGGAAGTTTTGTTCATGTATAGAGCAGCCTGCTCTGATTTATGCCACGGTACTTAATGCCACTCTGCATTTTAAGGAAAGCCTCCTGACAGCTGTTTATGCACAATGATTCTATACCTGGAATTCTTCTAAGACTTCTTTTTTTCCTGGTAGACAAACCTTAAGAAGCATATATAGCTCTGTAAATGTTCATTTTGTAGATGGGCTAAGTTACATGACAGGATGAGATTTTGAAAAGTGCATTCTGATATAGCTGCTTGCTTCCTGCTGTTCCCCTCCCCATCCCAGGCAAGACTTTTACTGAATTAACGTTGTAGGCTACTACTACTAGTAGTAGAATTGATTAGTAGTAGGCTTTTATTGAAAAGTGCTTTTGTCTTGTCATTCTAGTACAGAATTAAAAGAACTGGAGCAGCAGAGGTGCTGCCATATACTGCTCTCTTCTCTAAATTTAATGGGAGGAATAACAGCTCACTGGAAGGCAGACTTCTGAAACTGGTGCAGTTCTTGGATGAGTGTGCATTGGATCCTCTGGCATCTGAATCCCATAGGTTTATTCAAACTCACTGCTGTATTGTGACTTCCTGTCCTAGCACCTTCAAGCTTACTGCTTGTTTGTGGCAAATGAGAATCAAAGTATTGTGCAAGTCTAAGGACAGACTTTTTTTTTACGGTATTCAGGCGCCACATTTTTTTCTTTCAGTGCCTAACTGCCTAAAGTAAGTTACAAATATTTGTTCTCTGATCACTGGGACCAGTAAAGTTCTATTTCAGAATCAATCTTCAGGATACTTTGTGGCTAAACCTGTAGTATATTTTCAATGGCTTGTGCTATTAGCATAGATATATAAAAAGTTTATTGAATAAATGAGCTGGAGATATTTCCTATATTACTTTGTGAAGGAGAAATTCAGCTACGGAAAATAATCCCCATTTTCTAGATTTTTACGTAGCAGTGGATGCATATTGTATACCAATGATGCTTTGTTATTTAGATGCTATTCTCACACCAGAACTAAGTATTGAACCTCACCACAGAAAACTTTGGGTTTGCTGGTTTACAAAACATGAAGAATCTTGTACAAGCCAGTGGAATTCTTCATTTCCTACCTCAGAATGTGTATTAGCTTTGTGTCTTTGTGTGCATGTACAGTAGGCAGCAACTAAGCAAAGGCCTTTGTAAATACTGCTTTTCAGTTTTACCTTGCAGCAAGGCAAAACTTGTTCTGGGCAAGGCTCTTTTTTTTTCCTCTCCCCACCATCCATAGGTAACATAGCATTAATAAATACAGTAAGCCACTTATTTAAAACAAAAATTTAAAAATTAACAGATTTCAACAGGACTTCTCATAACCAGCATGTAACACAAATAACTACACTACCTCACCTATGGGACTGAAAGTTGATTGAAATCTCTAGTGAATCCCTGGATTTTCATCATATATCATTACTTTTTTAAGGGAAAATTATGCTAATGGTGTATAGCTTGTATAAATCACAATGCTTGCAGTAACTGAAATTCAGAAATACTACACAGCAGACATCATGATAATTGGATTGAAATGCTTTTAAATTACTATCATTGAGATATGGTGATCCTGTATATGTATTACTTTATGAAGCTCTCTGGGCTTTTTCTTCAGTTTCTGTAGATTCATAGTTAATTTAATCCTGTCTCCCTCCCACACTGCCACCCTGGGAAGCATTAACTCGTATGTTTCCATTTTATTTAAAAAGCAAACCTACAAGAAACAATCAAAAACAAAATTCAAAGCCCAAACCTCTACTGTTCATAACTACTATCATTTTTAAAGCTGGTGATATTCTGAAATGACGTGGACAATGGCATTAAAACACTGTCCTAATAGTGCACATAGCTGGAAATAGAATTCCTTGGGGTAAGTCCTCATTATAACGAGGTGGAGCATCTTTGTAGGGAATGGCTGCCTGGGAGCTTACCCAGTGGCCCCAAGCCCTGACACACTTGGCTGCAGATGTTGGAAAACAAGGTCAGTGATGACCAAGTGTGAGACTGGAATATCCCTAAAGAGTTGTGCTCCACTGCTGCAGTCTGGGGTCCAGCCACTGCCTGAATTCCACACAGCTGATGGTGGAGGGATTCCAGGGCAGGAATCATGGCAGTCATTGACCTATGATAAAAGTAACATCATGTTTTTAAACCTGATATGAACTTGATGAAGTTTGAGGGTAGTTTTTTGCCTGACCAGCTGCATCTAAATAATTTTTTAAATATTTATTTAATACCACAGACCTACAAGTTGCATGTTGACTTCTATAAGCCTATATCATCAACTTGCAAGTGTTACAAATGAATGACAATTTTATGATACAGAATTCTCAGGAAAATGTTTTTGGAGTTTGGTTTTATTTTTTCTCTTCCAGTAAAGAAATACTCAGTTTTGAAATTGTAAAATACTTTGTTAAAGCATGTTTTAAAATACTTTGAACAGACTATCTTAAAGCCATAAGGGTATGATGGCATAAAGATTGTAAAATAAACAGATAATTTCAACAGTTGATTTTGTATTTTTCATAATTCAGTATTTTCTAAGTCTACAATAAAAACCACTATCCTTTCTACAAAGGCTTTTCTATTTTGTATAAGTTTTCTGCTGTGAAAGTCTCTACTGGTGCATTATTCATTTATGTAGTACTGCTCCAACAGTTGTGAAAATGGTAGCAAAGTAGTCTTTATATAGTTTATAAATTTTATAGACCCAAACCACTAACTTAGGATTCTTCAGACAGAGGTGAAATCTGATAATCCAGAGAGGTAAGTGTACCAAAGTTGTGTATCTACTAAATTACTCATGATATTTCCTCAGTAGGGTGTATTTTGTTCTATTGATTTTCTTTTTTAATTGCATATTCTTAAATACATTAATATTCTTCTCAACATACTGAAGATTAAATTTGCCATGTGGAGACCTGCTGTTTCATATGAACAACAGAGCCAAGAGAGGCAAGATTTAAAATAAAAACCCTAAAAATGGTTACCAAGTACTGAGTGAGAATAATACAGCAATACAAGTAAGTTGAGTATATCTTGTTAACTTGAGAAATAACATTTAAGGCTTTCTTGGTATATGTTAATAGTCTAGTAAGAATTCAGTATGATACTTTAACAAGGTTTCCTAGTTTTTTATAATCTACTATTTCATATTTACTGTGAAAGAGAACGAGATGGATGTGAGAGATTTGGGAAGAAACAAGACTCAGTAATCCAAATAGCACCCAGAATGTGTATATATTCAACTTAATTAACTTGTTGAAGGCCATAAGTCTCAACCTTTCAGGTGGACTGGCATGATTTTGTTGAGAAATATTTGGTGATGAGAGAGACTCAAAAGTTGTAATTCATATTACAATTTTATTTCTCAGCCCAGTGGTGATAAATCAGATGATACATTTAATGTCAGCCTGGCAACATTTGGGACTTTTTCAGGCAATGATCTAAGAAATAAGAAGGATTTTCAGTGAACAGCCTCTATTGGTTCTGAGTTTTCATTTCTGTCACTTTGACTGTTGTTAAAAATACACTTGATTTGCTTTAATACAGGATTCTCTGACGTCCTTCAGCTGGAGCCTCATCTGGGTGCATTTTTACAGGATTGTCAGATACTTCTATGTGGCAGAAACGATGTATTGGATCAACATGTGAAGGTACATGTTAAAACACTGTTGGTTAGTATTGTTACATAATTGCTCACTGTAATTATAACTACCCATATTTAAAATATTTACTTGAATACAGGATAATCAGTTAGCAACTGTGTGAAATTATTATTCTTAACGAAGTAGAAGGTTAAAAACCAGGGGATGGGTTCAGGGATAAAAGACAATAGGAGTCACAGAATCCCCAGAGTGGATTAAGAGCAGACCATGGGAGTTTGGGGAATATCACTGGGAGCTGTCTGTTGGGCTGGTCCATTTTTCACACATGGTGTGTGAATGTACGAGTCCTAAAAGGTACATATAGTTTTCAAACTCTTATTCTGGTCTCTGAAGTTAATCAGTCCTGCTTACCCATAAAACCATGAAACTTTGCTAACCTGCATCTATCCCAAAAAGCCTATGGACCTGCCATTGTCCTTGTTGAAAATCTGTCCTGTGAATTCCTTCACAGGCTTTTATAAGGACTTTAAAACACTGACAATTTCTGTGCTATGTCCTTTTTTCCTCCCTCTACAAGAATTACAGTAAACCTTTTACATGCAAATCAAAATAGTGGATGAAGGACTGAATGAGATTCTGTGCTTTGTGTTATACAGAATACCAGAATTTGTCATGGTCTTTCCAGTTATAAAATCTATTTCAGCTTTGTGGTGGACTTACAAGACTTCAAATTCTTACACAGAAATTTGGACTCTTAAATGGTTGGAAATCTCAGACTAATGGGCAACAACAGAACTGTGTGTGGGGATGTTCTTTTGGAGGCTTTGTCCTTTAGCTGTTTCCCTTCTGCTACATCCCAGGCTGAGATGAATTGTGTAGTATAGCCAGACCTGCAAGTTCAGAGCAATAGATTTTAAGTAAATATTGAGGCTTGTGTGCCCTTAGAGTTGCCATCAGAGAGTATGTACAGCTCTCACCATCCCTCTCTAGCAGTGTATCAAGGACAAAACTGGGAACTGTCTGTGTTACCTCAAAAAGTAAGATTTTGTGACTCCCTTTATGAGCTCTTCACGTTTCCATGTAGTACTATGCAGCTCTGAGTTTCTAGGTTTGCAGAAGGCAGATTAATCTCCTCCATTAAACTTTCTTACACGTGCTGTCATTGCAAGTGAGGGAGAGAATATCATGATGTGTGGTGGGCTCCTAGGAGAGAATGGGAAGGAAAGCACCTTGCCACAGTATTGGGATGGAGACAATTGGTTGCCCAAGGGAGGTTAAGGCCAACAACTTCTTTCTCTCTTGGCATTGTGTCTGTGACAGCAATCCCCAGTGCTATTCAGTTTTGAGGGTGGTATCCAAATTTCAGAGGTTGACTCACGGAGGAGCATTATATTACCTCTCCTTAGGAAGGAAAACACCCAGCTCCAGTGTTGGTAGTGCAGATTTGTAAGGTGCCTATGGAAATTTTTGGCCAGGAACAACTTTGTCTCATGGCACTTTTTGTGTGGGAGCCATGCCCAGACATATTTTGAAGGTGGTCTCAAGACTATGGAGTGGGATCCTGAAAGATCAAATTACCTTTCCTTGGGAAGGAAAGCAGCTAGCCCCATTATTAGTGGTACAGATAAGAGGCCATGGGGAGTTAACAGCTAGGAATATTTTACTTTATTGGAAACCTTTGTGTGGGAGCAATCTTGAACATACTCAATTTTGGAGCTCAGTAGCAAATTCCAGAGGTGGGATTCTGAAATAGGGTGTCACTACTTTTCTTTGGGAAGGACTGCATGATAGTCTCAGTGTTGGTAGAAATTTGTCTTTGTCCTGCAAGATCAAGGACAGCAAATCAGATACATCAAAATATATTATTTACTCTCATAGTCTTCAGATGACAACATCCCCTATTTCGTTACCACCTCCAAAAAAGAATCAGTCTGGGCTTTGAGCCCAAACAAAAGGTGCCAGGACAGACAGCTTGTGCTGGCCTTTACCTCTCCTGGGCAGCCTCTCATCTGCACCACCACCATGGGGACTAAGCAAAGTTTCCTTGCAAAGTTAAATGGTGCTGCCATAAATTTCAGTATACCTCCTCCAAAATTTCAATCTGAGCACCATCATTAACGACATCCAAGGATTGCTCCCAAACAGAAGATGCCAGAACACAAAGCTGATACTGGTCCATCTCTCTCCTTGGCAGACTGTCATCTGCTCCAACAAAACTGTGGCTTAGTGCTTTTCTGCCCTAGGAAAGGCAGTCTCATCCACTTACTGGAGCCCACATCCAAAATTGAAATACAACCTTCAAATCTTAATAGGTTCCAAAATTGAGGCTACACAAGAGACCCCATGAGAACAAACTGTTACTGACTTTCAGGTCTCTTGAGCAGCCTGGTGACTTCAACCACCACTGGGGCCACATGCTTTCCTTCACAAGGAAAGATACTACCATTCACTTTTTGGAGGGCATATACAAAATTTAAATTCAATATTCAAAACTAAGTAGGGCTTCACATTCAGGACACTAGCTCTGACAAATGGATCTAAGTTGCAAAGGGAAGAAGTGTTGCTGGTCTTTACCTCCCATGGGTAAGTTATATTCATGGTCTAGGTGCTTTCCTTCCCATGTAAAATAACTGTTGTTCTCTTTCAGGACACCTCCTGCAATTTTGAATACATCCAAGGGTTGCTTACACAAAAAACATTTTAGGACAGAAAGTTCTTGCTGGCCTTTACCTTCTTTTGGAAGCTTGTGATCTGCAGCAGCAACACTGGCATTATGTTCTGTATTTCCTACTGTCACTCAGTTCCCGGACCCCACTTTGGAAATTTCAGATTAATCTCAAAAATGGAATATGTCCAAGGATTGCTCCAACACATTTTTTTCCAACCCACTCTTTTGTGGGTTGTGCCCTCATTGTGCCTCACACTGGGACCCAAGTAAGGCTGTCTTGGTGTAGGAATGGTACTTCCCGATTTACTGCTCCCACTGAAACCACTCTAAACTATAAACCACTCACTCACTTCTCCCCCTCCCCAAGGCGGGAGATTGGGGGGCACAAAAGGTAAAGACCATGGGTTGAGAAAGGAACAATTTCCTAGAAAAAAGCTGAGAGAAAAAACCAGTAACATCACCAGTATCATGTAAAAAGGGAACTGTGACTGCTCCCTCAGCTCCAATTGACACTTACCCGTCACTCCCAGCCCTTGTCCAATGACCCTCTCCAGCTCTTACAGGCTCCCTCCAGGTCCTCTTCAAGATACTGAAATCAGTAACACTTTTAGCAGAGAAAGATCAAATCTGTCACTATTAAATCATGCAACTACAACTGCAATACTATTTCAAATATCTAAATTATGATTTATGTAGGTATGTGAATTCCACTGTTAATCCCGTTGCGTTCACTCGAGAAATCCAGCTTTGAAGGATTTATTTTCTGACATATTGGAATAGTCAACCAGAACCAGTACTCACAAAATTTCCTTCACTCTCTTCCTAAAGGAACGAAGCTTACCAAGTTGTACTGCAAGAACACCTTGACATATGAGTTTACTGAAGCAATTTTTAAAAGCAGGTATTTCTGAGCGTGCTCCATCAATCCCAACTGTTCAAATAAATAACTATCCAGTGTCCCAAGGAAGTGTCCATGTTACAAATGGTATGTGTTTAATATACCCAATTATATCACATGCAGTAAGCATAAATATTATTCAGAATGCAGATTAATTGCTATAGCTCCCCTAAAAAAAAGCTGGGCACACATGGAGAATAGCTTTTAATCTAAGGCTATTACAGCTCTCCACCTGCCTCGGACCCCAAGATCAAGTCACTAGTGCTCTCATGTGTATCAACAGATTTTTGAAGTGGTTTTCACTTACATTTAAATTAAACAATGGGGGGAAACCCTAAATTCCATCAAGAATTAAAAATTTAAAGGGAGGGTTGGTTATACATTGTACATTAGAGGGAAATCTTCAGTATCAGGCATTCCAGGGAGACTGTACCTCTCATTACCTCAGCCAATGGGGAAAGTGAGAGGTAAATGTGCCCAGAATTAACATAAAAAGGAGGCTGCATCCTTCAGAAATTTGAGAGACCCCAGGCAAATGTCCCATAGCCTCTCCCTTTATTTGAATAAAGTTACAGGACTCCTCTGTCTCCTTTTTGGACATAAACCTCTGATGTTTGTGGATTCATTTTCCTAACAGTGGAAAGTGTAACATTTTAATATCCACTATATAAATACTTCAAAGGTTTCAAAATACCTTAATTTTGCTCCATATCTTCAGCCACTCTAACCTGAAGAAACAGGTTCCATGAATGACATTACAAAACAAAACCAAAAAAAACAAATCAAACAAACAAAAAACCAAACCCAACACCCCCCCCCTCAATCCTGACACAACTTAAGCACTTTAGAAAAGGAAGGAGGGTCCAGAATTCACAGGTAAACCATTAGTCCTACAAAATGAAAGAAGTGCCACCATCTACACATGCACAATAATCACAAATTCTCAGTGTCTGCCTGTATATAAAAAAAAATACTTCACCCGTTATCCAGATCTTCCTTTTGAAGGACAGTGGCAAGACTTCCATATTCTGGATGCAAATCACTTTTTAGTTACTCCACTTGGAGTGCACAGCTGCCTTTTAAAGGCCAGGATCCACTTCAATGTGCCCCTATTCTTCAACTCGTGACTTTTCACATATTTGAATGTTTTACCAGCCCTTTTGACCAATAATACGATCATTTTATTTTCAAAATAACTATTTTTAGCAAATGAAAAGCTTACTGTGACAGTACAACATCTCTATATCCAGTGTGAAAGCAACATGGTGGTATAAATATATGCATCATTGTATTACACAGAATCTATTATACACATTCCAGTTAACCATGGAACAATTAACAGGTGTAGATGACCACTGATAATGGGCACAAAGTATTTTTGTGAACAAGATTTTGGGAAATTTGAGGAGAAATCTTGTTTCAGGAAAGATGACAACCTTGGGATTCCATTTTTGTTTTCAGTGAAGTCAATGATTTTTATTTTTAAGGATGTATATAAGAATGCACTTTGTATTAAAACAAAGATCAATACTTTACAGTTTAAGAAACTTTACATATGTACATAAATTACACATCAGGAATGGTTTTAAAGCTCAAAATGGATGGTGGGAAAAGTCTATTTTCCTTCTATTAGAATCTTGAACTCTTTTACGTTGTGATCATTTGCAACAGTAACAGCATGATCCAGAGCTCGGATACTTGCTAGAAGTTTCACAATCTGCTTGATGTGCTCCCTAAAAAAGAGGCAGCAGAAGACAATATAGAAACAGAACAATCAATGACATTGATTAATTTTCCAACAGATGACTGCATTGTGGAGCCATATATTTCATATTCCTGTTGCAGATTTATTATACTTGCTTAATGAGTAATGACAACAGATTTGTTAAATGCTGGGAAAAAGCAAGACAGAAGATAGAAATCAAATTAGAACCTGCTATGAAAACAGGATAATTGGATGTTTCTCTTCCAATAAAAATTTCTACCAAGTTATCATTTCACCTGTTGAAGAAGGCTCTTTCAAATTTAGAAACATACCAGCAAACAAGAGAGTTCAAAAACTTAAATAAACTTCAATCCCTAACTGTTACACTGAAACACAGGACTGTACCAAGACTGGAAGACTGTTCATTCCTGTGCTGTTGCTGCTCCCATAGCATGTCAGCTTACTTGGCCAGCAGGAATGTGTCTAATGCAAGCTGCTAATTAAGCTGATCATTGGATTCAAGTAAAATTATTCTTGGATCTCAAGTGAAACAGGTTCATCTAGTTGGTTGTGTAAATAGTAAAGAACTTTTGAACTGTATACAAAAGACAGTTTGCAATTTAGAAGCCGCTATGCAGGATCCAGCAACAGGCTCACAAGGTGAAACAGTCCAAACATGGCAGCCACAAAATTTGGCAGAATCATAGAATGCTTTGGGTTGGATGGTACCTTAAATCTCATCACAGTCCAACTCTCTGCCATGGACAGGGACACATTCCAGCAGACCAGGTTGCTTAGAGCTCCATCCAACCTGGCACTGAGCATTTGGAGGGACAAGAAGCTTCTCTGGGCAACATGTGCCAGGGCCTCACCACCTTCACAGCCAAGATCCCTTCCCAATGTCTAACACAAGTATCTCCTCCTTCAGGTTTAGAGCCACTCCCCCTTGTCCTGATTTTATATCTGCTCATACAAAAAGTGCTTCTCCCTGCTTTTTATAAAGAATCCAGGACACTAAGCAGTAGTCCAAAATATATTATCAGCTTTCAAGTATTTCCAGCAGTTGCTATTTTCAAATATCCATTTCTAATGTGTGAATTCAAAGAAGTTTCCAAAGACACACAGCAGGATGTAGAGAGTTACCCATGTTTGCATGCATTGGCAAAATAAATCAAATCACAAGAACTGCAACTGCTTTCACTCAAAGTAAGTTACCTTGCATTTCTCTTCTCTACATCAGAGCAACCAATGCTGTTTCTGTAAATTGTATCAGCCAGGTGAACAAGGTATCTACAGAAGTTTTCTAGCTGAGAAATAGTCTTGTCTCCCGTTAGATTAGTGAACCACTGCTTAGGGAAGCAAGCAATTACCTATGAAAAATGGGGAAAAGGAAGTTAAACACAACGTAACAAAATTTTTAAAAGCTAGGTAACATGTATAACTTGTGAAGTCTGCCTAGTAAGACTGCAGGGATAAGGCCCAACTGAGTGAAAAAATTAGAAAACTACCAAAAAAACCCACACCGAAATCCAAGCAGTAAAGCACTGAAACCCACAGTATACCTAATCCATGGTATGAGCCAGAGAAGGATCTTTCTTTAGTCTGTATACTACAAAAAAAAAAAAAATCTATTTTTCACAAGCTTTTGAGTTATCAAAGCCAAGATTTCATAGGCAACATCAAGTTTTAACTACATATTCCTTTCAGTTTAAATCCATTATTTTAAACATTGCTTGATTTTACTTACACTTTGAGCTTTCTTAATGCTGTCCTCTCCATACTCTGAGTTTTGAAAAGCCATAAGAATGTATCTATTTAGCAACCCATCTATGGAGAGCTCCTGTAGAGTTTTGTTTGAAAGGATTCCATACCACTGGAGAAAGTTTCCCAATAACTAAAAATACAACACAGGGAAAATAACTATTCCAAAATGTACTGAAATCAGAGAGTTCATCAGAAACGTTTTAAAATATTTTAAATGTTTTGCAAACCTATTCAGAATACAGTCTCCCTTGCTGCTGCCATTTGAACAGAAAATTCCAGAGAAGAGTTCTGTTTATGTGATCATGGAGAGCAGTTTTTCAATCAACATCAGTCTCTACTTTCTGTTTAGCTGGGAGTTAATTTTTTTCACAGTCTTTTACTGGAAATAAACTATGACAGCCACAGCTTTGAGCTCCCACATCCCCCAAAAGTAGTATATTTTATTCTGACAAGCACAAGGATATAAAAAACCTGGGGTGAGTAAGCTAAGTGACCTCATAACATTTGAGTTGAAATGATGGTGCTTCCCCTTGACAACCTTTTCAACTACCAAACCAATTAGGTTGGAAAAGACCTCTGAGATGAAATCCACTCTTAGACCAAATACCACCTTGTCAACCTGACCAGAATATGGAGTGCCATGTCCATCTTCAAAAACACTTCCAGGGATGTGACACCACCACCTTGCCAGGTAGTCCATCCCCATGGTTAATTATCCTTTCTGTGACAAAATTCTTCTCGATGTCCAGCCTGAAGCTCTCCTGGCAGAGCTGGAGGACATTTCCCCTCATCCTGTTGCTGCCTGTGAGCAGAGCCAGACCCCCCTGACCACACTCCACATTCAGGCAGCGATAAGGGGATCCCTGTCCTGTCTCCCCCTTCCCCACCTCCTCTTTCCCAACTGCCCAGCAGCTTTCCAGCCACTCAGGCCCCAGTTCTGGGGTTACTGTGGACAAAGTAGGGACCCAGCACTTCGCCCTGCTGACCCTCATCAATCCAGGTCCCTCTGCAGAGCCTTCCTGCCCTCCTGCAGATCAACACTCCCACCCAACTTGGTGCAGTCCACAAATTTACTGAGGGTGCACTGGATCCCCTCATCCAGATCATCACTAAGGATATAAAACAGGACTGGGCCCAAAAGTGAGCCCTGGGGGACACCACTGGTGCCTGGACACACCATGAAGAGGGCACAGTGCACTATCAAAGACTAAGAATCCGGAGTTGGAGTTTTTGCAAGTGAAGTTGAAGCAGTTTCCATCTACTGTTTTCCACAAATTTGAGGAGGATTTTATTGCTACACTGTCTTAGAACAAAGATTTACCAGACATATTTACTGACTTACCTTAACAGAGGACCAAAACTGACGTTGGAAAAACAAATATGGACCAGAGTTCTTGTTTTCTAAGATGCTGGAAAGTAAGACATTTCTTTAATGAGCAACCAAGACCACACCTCTGTCTTGAATTTGCTGGCTTTTTCCTTCCAAGACACAGTTCATTTCCACAAATATTCCCTTTCATCCTTCTTGTCTCTGCTAAATGCTCCCAGAAGGATGACAAAAGATCTCCTGAACCCAGGCACTGAACCACACTGGGAAAAACCCCTCTTAACTATGGACAGAACACAGTGACTTGCTATGAAAAGTCTAACACCATAGTGGAAAGTAAACTTACTTTTTTGGATACAAGGGCATGAATACATCATCATCTAGTGTTCTCCTCATTCTTAGCAACAAGGCCTTTAAAAGCATCTGAAACAGGTAATTTTTTTTTAAATGTCCAATGCACTGTTTAGAAGTTAAACACTCAGAAACTGATTTTTAAAGTAACAAAGAACACTTGTGACCATAACAGTAAACACACATACACATTTGAGCACACAAACAAATAGTCTTAAAGAAGCCTGTAATAATTAACAAAGCAGAAATTTGACACTTTTAATCACAACTCAAACTCTTATTACCACTTTCTGCATTCACAGAAGGCAAATAAAACAACCCAGTTTCCAGGCAATGCATTTGAAAAGGCTGCAAAGATCTAAAAAAGAAAAGTCCAAGTATTTGTAGTCAACCCTTACAGCAAAACTGGAGACCAGGAAGTCTTACTTCATCTGGTGTATCTTTTTATCTCTACTCTCTATTTTGGGGAGGCTTCACTGAGTTTCTTCTTTTAATTTATCACCATACTTTACTCCCCACAATAAGGCTGCAGAGCACCAAATAATTTTAAAATTATTTTTCTTGCTGTATTTCTCAATATAAGGTATTAAAAATGTATTCAAATTCCTTAACTTATGCAAGATATTTAAGGAAAAAATCCAACAACTTACTTGTGTATTTTTGTTTTCTGCATTCACCACTGAGGGATATCCATCTATTAGTTTCTGTACAATTGCTACCATTCTTGATGTCTGTGTGGTAGAAAAGGGATCCCAGATATTTTCAGAAATTACTGTAAGAGATTAAAGAATTAGTCCACTTTACATATATTCAAATACAGTAATTATTATACAAATACAGCATTATATACTCACATAAAGTATTATATACTCAAAGTCATGCAATTGTTTACAAAACAGTAAAATCTGAAAGCACAAACAAGCACCAGACTCCACAACCCCCTCCCTGTCATTTTTCAAGCCTATACCTGTTAATTTAGGAAGAACAACTCTCTCTACAATGGTAGGCAACAGTGAAATATCAGCATCATCCTTCACCTGCTCCTGCTCTTCACAGCCATAAAACAGCAATGACTCAAACCACAACATTGTTTCAAAATCTCGACACTTGCCCTAATAAAAAAAGAACTGGGGTTAGATTCCTAAACAAAGATTTGAAGTCAACACATAGAAAAAGTATTATGCATGCAAGTATGATACAAAAACAGCTTAAAAACACTCTGGCAAATTAACCAATTCATTCTACCAGCAGAGCCACTAGATGTAATGAAAAGAGAAAATGGCTGAAGCAAGACTGATTTTTTAGCAGTTGTTGCCCCACAGATTTTAACTCCTACTTATACCTAAACCAAACAAAAGCCTACAGATTAGAGTACAAGTCGGAAGTACAGCTCAGCTGTGCTGTGTTTTAAAATTATGCCTTCTAGATTTCAAACCCCTTTTTATAAGCACCTTGTCATTTTTCTACCTCAACAAAATGCTTACCAGGACCAGTAACAGATATTAGTGAATACAATTAGACTTTATAATTCTCTACCATGTCTCCAGTTAACATCAGCTTTGTTTTGTCAACCTGAAAACTCAGAAAAATAGCATGGGGGAAGAGAGAATGCACAAAAAAATGTTTTAAATTTAATGATGGAATCTTTCTTAGATTTTTCCTTGCTTGATTAATGAAGTCAGACATCAAATTAATAAAACTAGTCAATATTGCAAAATTATTTAAATTATTATATTAATTATTATTAACACTCTGAACTTCCCCTGCAGAGAGAAGTCATGCCTCCCCCTCCTCTGCACTTGGAGAAGAGGTGATAAAAAAATCCGTTCTGCAGATATTCTCTTGGTAGGTTAAGGGAAAAAAAAAAACACTTCTAAAAAGAACAAAGGAGGAACAGAGAGGGAGTCAAAAGCTACATGAACTGTTTGTCCTGGTGGCATCTCCTGAAATACATATCCAGGCTGGACAACAAATGTGTGCCAGGGATACTGGGCTGCCACAGTGCTGTCCTGCTTCTCCCATGTTCCCTACATAATAACTGGGCAGTGAGTACTATGAGAAAGACTTGGAAATTGCCAGCCAGAATTCTACAGGGCATGGAGGTGTAGGTGAGAGACAGATACATAACCTAGAAACACAGGTTGTAATTCCACGTAAGAACAAACTTCTTAGTTCCACTTCTGATGAAACAGCGTTATCTAGAGGCACAATTTTCTCTGAAGTATTTTAAAGACTAAATGTATTTGCACAGAACCATACAATGGTTTGTGTTGGAAGGGACCTTAAACATCACCTAGTTCCAACCCACTACCCTGGGCAGGTGCAGATTTTTTGGTCTACACCACTTCCTGAGAAGGATCTGGCAATGTGACAAAATTTAACTCTGGCTTGCTGGGAAGGATCAACTGGTCCAGGCACTCCCCTGAAAAACTTTGCCAAGACAGGTGCCCATTTGAAACTTTGTCCCTAGAACACACTTTTAGAAGCAGCACACATCAAACGTGCAATTTACTTTGCTCTGCTCAAGTGTGAAAGAACCAGCCTGTAGCAGCTAAGACAGAAGCTGCTTGCAGAAGAGCTTACCTCCAAAGGAGTCCAGGTAAGCAGCTGAAGTCTGATTAAAGGGTTAAACAGCTTTGGTAAACACAGGCCAATATAAGCATCCTTATAAGAAGCAAAGTACTTGGAGCGCCAAGCTTCAAACTGTGACTTGATGCAATCAATCGAGTAAAAACTTTCCAAAACATCTTCGAAAACTTTGCTGGATTCTTTCAATATACGATCTAGCAGGGGAGAAAAGGAACAAAAAGTTAATCACCTACTCCCTGTAATGCCTCTTTCAAGACCTTCTTTGATGCTCGCTGGCATAAGCTAACTCCCATAAACATATAACCACACTTTTCATACTGTGATTAAGAAAAAACACTATATATAAAGTTATTAGATCCAAAGTTCACTCCTCTGTTCCACTGCTGTTTCTGGACTAACATGAGAGCTGCAAACAATAGTAAAAAAGCTTTACAAACATTCTTTCTGCCTATTCAGAAACTGAAGAAATTTCTACAAAATGCTTTTGCACATATAAATTGCCAAGCTACCAAGTGCAATTCAGCCCCATTGAATCTAGATAATTTAATTTAACAAAGTTCATTACAGCACCTAACAACCCTGAAGAGCTGTTCTGTTTATCCAAGACCCCTCCCTGTACACAGAAAATCAATGCAATCATAAAATTGCAGCAAATTAGCCAGCAACTAAAGGTGTGGAAACTGTCTGCACTTCCAAAGGACCCAACAGCTAGACAGTTCATCTCATTGCTTTTCTAATACGTTCATACTTCAGGTCTCCACAACCACCTACATCAATGACTTTACTATTTATTACTTTCTCTGTGGGAAATAACCTCTTTCCCACCCTATCACTTAATTTCATGGTCCCCAGCTATCATATGTGAAAAGTTGATATTGTTCTACTTGGAGAGACCAAACCCATTCAATCTCTCCTCAAATGCAACACAAGTAATTCTATGTATGCAATACTGGTCTCCTCCCTCTTCACTTCTTCTAACTTGATTCTCTTTTAATCAGAGCAAATGCTAATTGTATCACAAGATTTTTCTGCAGTGTTTGCATACAACATTGTTTTCTGTCATTTGCAAACTTTGCCAGGCTGCAACAAGACTATACCAAACTTTTGGCATTGCATTTCTAGAAGCTTATTCACAACTCCACTAAATACTTGCCATGAACCAAAAAAAAAAAGACTTCTAAAGCACTGAGGTTTTCAGAATTTCCCAAGTAAGACAAACACATATTTCAATAATGATAAACTATATTTTACAAATTGGAAGACTTACTGACAGTCCAAAAGCTTACTGCCTGCAAAAGCATATTAGAATTAAATAAAAAGAACCTCACTAAGGACAGGTTTATTCAGTCAGCTGCAAGACACACAACAGGTTGGTGATTTGGTGACAGAGACTATTCTGGTCACATTGATGATCCAGAAATCAAAAATTCCTAAAGTCCTTCCAAAATGTGGTGAAATATATAAACAGGGCTGCAACTGGATACCAAGTATTTGGTATGTTGTTACATAAAAGGATTGGGATTGCTCAGTCTGGAGAATAGGCTTCAGAGTAACTTCACTGTGGCCTTAGAGTACATGAAGGGAGTCTGCAGGATGGAGAGGGACTATTTACAAGGGCCTGGAGTGACAGGACAAGGGAGAATGGCTTCCCACTGACAAAGGGCAGGGTTAGACAGGATACTGGGAAAAATTTCTTCCCCTGTAAGGGTGGTAAGGCCCAAGCATATGCCCAGAGAAGCTATGACTGACTGCTCCATGCCTGGAAGTGTTCAAGGGCGGCTTGGATGGGGCTTGCAGCAACCTCAACTAGTAAAAGGTGTTTCTGCCCATGGCAGGGGAGTTGGAACTGGCTGGGATTTAAGGTCCCTTCCAACCCAGCCCATGCTGTGACTCTGTGATAAAGCTTGGGCAGCTTTTCTAACCTCTCTCCAAGTTGAAGTTTGTGATATCTGTTGAAGTTTCCTCGTCATCGCTGGAAAGGCCTTCAAGGTGATCTGCCATCTTCCCAGTTTGCTCTCTGGCTTGTCTGCGGCGAGCTCTGAAAGGAGCAGCAGTGTGAACCAGCTATAGTGAAGCAAGAGAAACCAGCTGCTTTCCCCACCTATACAATGCATATGCCCACTTAGGCTTGTCCTTTTAGTTCTAGGGAAGCCAAGCTGAAAAGAACTTCTACTATGCCACAGCCTCAAGCATTCCACTATGTTGCTGCCTCAAACAATGGAAAGAAACAAAACCAGCAGAGACCATATAGATATGGAATTTATTTACTACGCTTTCTTTTAGTGATTTTAAAATCAGTATAATGGAATGTTTTGTGTATTTGCATAATAAGCTGGGATATATAAGAATACCCCTGCCCAGCATACCAGCTGAAGTGTTTTCTTCCCTTTGCAAGGAAGAAGCAAACATTGCCACTCATCGTAGCACATCACACAGTTATATCCTGCAGGCAGGCAAAGACTCCTAGAGGAGAAAAGAAATCTCATTCTCTACCTTCTAGCCTCTCTTTCTGCAGTCCGACGCTTGACTTGCTCTTGATAGATCACTCTGTCTCGCCCAAAAGAATCAAGATTTGGAGCCATCAGTGCTTTATCTGTAAAATTACATCAATGAAAATTAAAATGCTTATTTATTATTCAATAAATGTGCTGTAGGCAGTTTCATAAGAGCCTTTTACCCACTTTTAAACTAAGTGTAATTTGAAATAGAAAGTCGAAGTATCAAAAAAGAAAAAAAACCCACAATGCCCCCCAGAAGCCTGAATTCATGATGTGTAGAGGTTAAAACAGAAAGCAGTGGACTTTGGAAAAATTTCCACTTAAATGCCAAGTAGTTTTCACTGTACTTCACTCTTATCCCTCTCACAACAGTGCCGAACTACACAGAAGTCAACAGTTTTAACAGAAATAGCTTAAATTAAATGTCCCAAGAAAAAAATGCTCCTTACATAAACACAATCACCACATAATTTTTAAGAAGAAAACTAGCAAAAAAAAAAAAAAGGCAGACAAGAGTGACTGAGGCAAGAATAGATGTTATTGCAGAGTTCTAGTCACAGTGTTTCTAAGTTCATATGCTTTAGATTACCTAAAGTTTAAACCACATGAAAATCTACAGAAAGATAAACCATCTTCCCTCATTTTTTCATGCTCTGCTTATCCATGTTCCTGGCTATAGACAACAACACAGCTAGAACAGCAGAGAGCAGGCAGGAGTGTTTCCAGTTCCTCCTTTCCAGGTAAATTTTAAACAGTAGACTGAAAGCTAACCACTGCTCAAGTCCACCCATTAAAGTATAAACATTACCATTTAAACAACACCCTATCCAAACTTCGGGAATAAATTTACGTGTTCTGACAAAAATCTATTTACAAATTCATTGTTTAAAGTATTAATGCCAATCTATGTCAGTATTCCAATTCAATACCTGAACTACTAAGAGCCTTGTCCAAACTTCCAGATAATAAATAAGATCTCTCTGTAAAACCCAACCTCAGCAATGAGAACTATTCCCATCCTATTATTAAACACCATCATAAAAAAAATCCATTCTGAGCTTCTTTTAGAAAATAGGTTCCTAGTTCTCAAAACAGCATTTTCATGATAAAACTGCAAGGCCATCTGATGCCTGGAACTCCACATAATAGTCCTAAAAAGAATATGTATGCTAACCACTCTATAAAGGAATGACCAACTCTGACATCCTAACATTTCATCATCTTGGTAAATTCTAGCTAATGGTATTAACAAGATTTCGTCTCTGACAACTGTAGTAGAACAGGGAAATGGCATTGATTATAGAATTTTACATCAACAACAGGACAGAAAGCCATTTTTAAAAATGGGAAGCTCTCTGAAGCGTAAAGAAGACTCCTATTAATAGGATATTTCATCCAATGATTTAATCCGCTGAATAAAACCTCATCCAAGAAACATGTATTTCCATCCAAATTAACATTTACGCTTTTGTAGAGTTTTACATACTGAAGAGTAATCACCCTAAGAAACCTCCTTAGTGAGAATCCCCCATTCACAAATTTACAGTAAGCAGGCATTTTAACTGGCTATTCTTAAAGCTGTATTTCATACAAGGTCACTGTATTAGTCTGATTAGCCTTCCAGGTCTCTAATTTACCAGTTAAGTCTCTGAAATCAAATGCTTATACTGGCTACAAAACAGAACATTAGATAGAAGTCTAGCCCAGTGCTTTGTGGCTTTATACAGTTAACTGTACATGTTAAATGACATTTATAGATTCAGGAAGGTTAAAATAATTTTTTTTAAAGTCCTGATATAAGAAAATGGGGAGTCACATGCTACCACTGCTCTCACAGCCACCATGCACACATTTTTAGTGCTAGGAAGGAGAAAATATAGTTAAGAGAAACAGAAAGAAGAGATGAAGTCAGAGTTACAGTGGTTTCAAGTTTAAAACAAAACAGATTAGAGAATTTTCATCTAAACTTGCTTCTACTCATCTCAAGAGTAAGAATAAACTTTAATAGGACAGTCATACATTAAACATTTACATTTCAATTAAGTCATATTAAGTAAACAAGGTTGTTTAATGAATAATAAAAACCTTCAAGATGGACTGACTTGAATGGCTTGAAAACTCCGAAGATTCATCTTTAATATCATCTTGTCGTCTTTGGACAAGGCGGGAAGCTCGCTGTTTGTACAGCTGGTGCATTGCAGATTCAAGTTCATTAATCAGAGGCACCTGTAAAAATACAACACACCACGTAATACCCGGATCCTGAGCTGCTCAATTCTGGGGTCCCAGTCTATTCCGGAGCAAAATGTGTCACTGTGCTCCCAGCAGCACAAAGTCCTGCCTTTGGTTCATCTGTATCATTTGCACCAGGAAATACTTCAAGGTGTGGAAAGTGCATACATTTAACACTGGCAGCTTTCAATCAGAACAAAAGCATTCTGAAAGCAACTTCCATGGCTTGAATGAGTCTACAGAGCCAGACATCCTATTAAGAGTGTGAAATATTTTTTCCGGTATTCTTGCTTTCCCTGCCAAGTGTGTTACATGTTATGTTAAGGTCTGCAATTCTCAGATGTCAAATGTTTCCTCTCTATCTCTAAACAAGAATGCAAAAGTATTTTACACTTCAGTGAGAAAATCACCTGACTGTACGCAGTGAAAAACACACCCATCAATCCAACCTACTGAAGCCAGCAGCTATTGTTTTGTGTCCTCTAACTCTTAATAGCATATGCTGAAATATTTTACTGAAATGAAATAAAACCCTGCATAAGGGTGTTATGCCAACAGGTAATTCAAATCAGTCAAATACTCCTCTAGCTCATCACTAAAATTAAAATTTCTGCAAAAGTACAATTTGTGCAAGTTATGCATTAAGTATAACCTTGAATTAATCAGGTACATCACGTCAGACCTGCCACTTTTTTTTCTTTCTTTAATGAACTATTTTGGTAGCATCCCTAATAAAAATAGATGATATTATGACAGCCAGGAACCTCCTGACATTGAATAGCAAACCAGAAGTTTTCACAATCTCTTAATTTGGAAAGGCAAGTCCTTTTGGTATGAACACTTAAGCCATGTCCTCCTTACCTCTGAGACGTATGCTTACTCCACAGTCTTCCAGCCTTTTATATTTCATTGCTGCCTACCATCCAGGATTATGTTTTTTTTTTTTTTAAACAAAAGATAAAATCAGAAATTGTTTCCTGAAGCATTTTAGAATGTGACTCAGCAACTATTGAAGAACCTCCTTCAGTAAAATGTAAAATTCCAAGTTCATAGCTACAGAGCAATTTCAGCTCGCTGAGACTGACATACACATCAGAGAAGAAAAAGGTTTTAGCTTTGTAGGATAAACAGGGCTCCAGGGATTAAAATGAAAGCAGCTCTGCACCAACTCAAAATATGCACACCTTTCTTTTGGAGAAAAGAGGAGAGAGAAAGACAAGGAGGGAATAATATTCCAAGAGCTGGAAGTTCATATTTGGAATTTAAGACAGGTTTGAAAATAGAAATAATAGTTTAAAAATACTAGCTTTACTGCAGTTTATCATAGAAAATACAGCTTCTTTTCTTAAGCATGTAGAGGAAATTCTAAGATTGAAAAGTTAAATGAAAAATTTTCAATGCATCCCTAGTGGTTCTTTCTGTAATTTTCTCAGGATTAAAGAAGAAACCTAGTGATGTGTTCAGATATATGAATCCACTCAAAATATTTCCCATTCAGAATACAAGATACTTAGAAGGCCTTATTCTTCTCTAATCAATACTGTGGTTAATGAGTGGCTGACAATTTTACTGACTACTATAAAGTTATAACCCTCATTCCCAGTTTTGTTTAGTCAGTACCTTAAATTCAGTGTTTTCAAGGTGATTTTTAATTCACTTTCCTTGCAAACAGTAGAAGAGGAAAAGCAGAAAGGTCTCTAAACATTTAGATCACAAGGATAATTCTGATACACAGAGCATGTTTTGGTAATTCAGTTCTTGAGGTAAAGTAACAGTTCATCTACTTCTGCTGTCAAAGGCATGCCCAGAACAATTCAATCTTTCTGTATCCACTGTATGTTCCTATAGTCAAAATGTAAAAATGCCATTGTGACTCGCCAGCCTTCTCAGAAGGCATAATTTTTACAGTAATTATTTCTGAAGGAAGTCATGCAACCATCTGCCACTCTATTGCTTTTCTTATTTACCAGGGAAGAAAGGTATTACAGAGGATTTGACCTCTCTAGAGCTTGTTTCTAAAATCTGTGTAATAGCTGTCTTCTCATACTCAGCTGAGCCTTAAGACTGGGCAAAGTGATCCTAACATTCAGAATCTCTTCAAAATATCGTATTTCATGATATGTTTTCGTGTATATATATATAGAGAGAGAGTATTATTATTATACATATACATATCCTCATGTATATTATAATAACTACATATATTATTATAAATAATAGTAACACTTTAAATAGAAGCAGTCAGGGCCACAGGTTCTGCAAAAAAGCTGAAGGTAATTTATCTCTACACTAAAAAGATTAGAACAATTTACCATCCCACTGCATTTTATTACTTGACTTTGTCCCCTTTCAACACCTCCTTTTTAGAAAACTTTTCAGTATCCTTTGGGCTACTGGTTCTGAATTTGCTGGTACTTTTGCCATGCTGAAAGCACTGAATTCCAAACCAGATTATGTGGCCAAACAATATCAAAATAAATTAAATGCTCCTGTCACACTGACCATATAACCTGCTGCTTTTGCAACTCACTTAACATACAAGTACAGCAGCAGCCTCCACCTGAAACCAGCAAAACTCTGTGAATGCCTCTAAGAAGCCTGAGATGATAAAAGTCACATCTTAAAAATATTTGGAAAAGACAGCTTATGCTATCAAGGAGAACCTCCAGACATGGTTTATAGTCATCACAGAAGTAATTTACCAAAAGGTGTTTAGAAAGCAAACACTGAATAGAGACACAGATATTTAACTTGATTTCTGAAACAGAAATTTATCTCAGAGTAAAAATGTAAAAATTTATCTTGAAGAGGAAATCGGCCATTTGGGGAACCAGCACTGCCAGTGCTGCTTATGAAAGTACCTTTATTAATCTTCAACAGCTAATGCTAATACAGATTCAGGAATATGGCTTCTTAAGTGAACAATCAATTGCAACTAATTAGTTACACTAATCAATCAGCTGGATGAACTGACTGTCCCACATTTCCTGGGTTTGCTCATGACACCGTTACTTTTCACTTTCACAGGATGAAGACTGGACTCTCCCAGTTCCACTAACAGACGAGAATTAATATCTAACCCATCAGCACCCAAAATGCTTCTCCATTCCCTCTCATACCTAACAGGCTAGGCAAGCAGTAGCTTTAAACTACTCAATTCTTCTGACAAGATATTAAGAAATTATTATACTACAGTTGTATTCAAGTTGGAAGACAATGAATAAATAGCCAATATACTGTTAACTGAATTCTACAGCTTCTGTGTGTGCCTACTACATGTGTGTATATATAGCTATATATTCAAGAGTTCCTATTATATTTACAACAAAGTAAGCAATCAAAGCACAGCACATAACCTAAGAGAAAAGACTAAGTTTTTGACTTAGAGATACATAAAAGTATCACACTACATGAAAGAAATATATTTTTAAGTGTGGGCGTCTTTGAACAGCTATGCTAGTTTTAAAACTTCTCTCCTTCAGACTCCAGAGCAATACCAAGAAACATCTGTCAGGAGGAAGTTTATAATAACACAGAAAATACAAGCCTCTGTTATTGTGTACATCAAGCACTCCAGAAAGTAGCAATGTTGTAATTCAGCCCTCATTTTTGCTAACCTGATGTCAAACACAAGTAAAAAGGAGTTCTGAGTAAAGTTGAAACACCAAAGTATCTACGAAAATCCTGAAGACATAAAATCTGTACGTTTTTAGGCAATCTAAAGTCAGTGAGCTGGGAGGAGAGATTTCTGATAACGAGCTTAGCATGGTATAAAGTTCTTTTCAATCCTCAAACAACCAAACCTTTAGAAGAATATGCTCTCAAAGGACTTTTTTCGAAAACAGAGGGAGATGTGCTGTTTGGCATGTAATAAGAGACTTTTTTTTTTTTTTTTTTTTTTTTTGGTAAAGAGATGAATGTTTTTGCATCCTTACCTTTTCACTGAAACACTCAAGCAAGTCTTGGACATACCCTCGCATTTCTTGCAAAAACTTATACCGTTCACCAATACCCCCAGAAGACCCTTCTAATCTTTCAATTGCCTTGGTAGAGTCCTCTTGGCTTTGCTGGTGTTTCTCATATTGCTGCCGATTAGCTTTGTGCATTTCTTTCATAGAGTCCAACCTGAAGGGCAATGGATAAATAGTAAATTTACATCCAAAAGTCTGTCTATTTCAGACCATTGAGACATCAAACAGACAGTACAGTGCAAGTACTGAGCCTATATACAGGAAATTTTGCAAAGAAATTCTTGACCGTTGATTTGTCACCTTCTCCCCTCTCTTCATGAACCACAAGGCTAAGGATCAACACTCATTTGCTAGACTGTGTTGTAGTGCATGGCACTGGCCACTCCTACAGACTTCTACAGGAGCTGACAGCACACAGAATAGTGCAAGGCTGCCCCTAATCAAAAGCTGGCAGAACAGGTTGGGGGTGGACACGTACTACAGCTTATACAAAGCAGTCTTTTTTCTCTACTAATGTGATTCACTGTCAAAGGCTGCAACACTACAAGGGCCATACAAACCCATTTCGAAGACATGTAAAGTGCAAGCTGTTCATTACACACGATTTCTCACTGCAATTGTGTTGCTCAGTCCATACCTTCTGCGTACCTGACAAGCAGATTACAGTATACACTGTAAATCCCTGTATACACTAAAAATTAAATTGTTTCTCTACTGAAGGGGAAATCTCTGATTCACAGTTTACAGGAATGCAGCTTGATAAGCTAAACACCTCACTGGCCTTTCATTTCTTCACTATAAGACTGTGCAGTATCCAGAAGATGGAACTCAGACCTCTCTTCAACAAGATTAATGGCCTCACATTTAAAGTTTCACTTCCAGAGAAGCAATCCAAGGAGATTTTCGAACAAAGTGTCAATGTCATCTTCACTTTGAGCTTTTTTGTTTGCCTTTTTTTTTTTAATGGATGTACCAGTCAGTTTCCAGCGATGAAACTCTGTGTTTGCTCACCGAGACTAAAAGACACCTGAGGAACAGAAACCTAGGGGACAGGTCTTTAAGTCTAAAAAGATGGTCTGTCCTACCTGTCTTTAAGCTGTTTCTTTACCAAATCAATAGTAACAGGAGTCATCTCATTACTGGGAGTTTTGAAAGGAACTGTATTATCTGTTTTTTGAGACTTGGTTTCCGATGATCCATACGCAGCATAGGTGTATGGAATGCCATATGATGAACCATAAGACAGTGTCTGGTAAGTGTTCTGGTAGTACACATTATTCACTTCTGCAGGCTGACTTGGTTGAACCTAGTGGCAGAGGAAATGCAATTGTACTACATCAGGCTTTAAAGAAAGGGGAAACTTTTTCACACATTTCAAATCAAAGTGAAAAATATAAGCAGATACAGTTATAAAATGTAATTATCAAGGGGATTAAAGCATCCAATATCTAAGAGAGAAGAAACAAATGCCCTCAAGAAGATAAATGGACAAATTCTTAGTATCATTACCATTCCAAATACTTATGCTATTTCTCTTTAAAGAACATCAGAATTTACAGACTTCATTTCTCAAATGAAACAGCCTTCTGTAAACTACTCAAGTTTGTAAAGGATTTAGCCAATACTTGCAGAAACAAATCAAAAAAGAGTGCACAGTTATATACATGCCTGGGGTATGTTGATTCCTTTTCGTATCTGCTCTTGCTCCCACCTACTGAGTTCTTCATCTTGTTCCCCTGCCACTAGTGCTTCATCATCGCTTCCCTCAATACCTTCATACAAGTAAGAAAAAGAAGATAATGCATTCATAATTGTAAGGGCCACAAATTCAAAAACCTGAAACCATGCCTCAGTGAGAACATCTCAGAGTATCTTCCTTTACTCCTCATGAGGAATTAAGGACACTGGCCTGTGAATTATTAGCACAGGGGTTCCATTTGAAAGATCCAATGGGAAAATTAGCAATTCACTGCTGGTGAAATCCTCTAATTTCTAACTCATTTTCCAAAAGGTTATTTTACCTGCTAGCCAGCAAGAAGGCTTCTATATCAAATGTTTTTCTTTTCACAATTATATACTCCCTAAAAACAGAGTACAGGCAAAACAAGAATTGATCCTAGTTTAAGTTTCTATTACAGTCAGCAGTGTGCACAGGAACATAGTTTTGTGCTCAAAATTTTACAAGCATATACCATTATGTAGTAATTTTCCTCAGAAATGTTATGCAACTCCAGATTGTTTGAAAAACATGTTGTTTAAAAATGCTGAATGGGAGCACTGGCAGTGAAAACAGTGTGAACATTTATCAGCTGACCTTCCAAAAAAGGGTTTACCTATTTCCTCAGCAATCTTTTGCCTTTGGGATTTTTCCTTCACTGTAAAAACTATCCTCCTCTTCTCGTCATCATCTTCATCATCACTGGCATCATTTTCATCTTCTCGAACAAGGCGGCTTTTACCTGGTTCAGAGTCAACGGGGGTAAAGTCTCCAAGTTCACGAGCCATTTGACGCTTTTTCCTAGCGGCATGAATAAAAGCAGCATCTGGAATTTCTCCTAGAGACAAATGTGTGCACGGTTAAACAACCACTGCAACCAAAACAAGTGTTACAGTTTCTTACTGCTCATCTCTGTCACTGTATCAAATCATCTCTGCACTCAGGGAAAAAAAAAAAAAAAAAGCAGGAGAGGAAGCAAATCCATATTCACAGAAAACATTTGCAAACAACTTAGATGCTAAACATGTCACCTTTCTGACCAGAAACCCTCAAAGTTAGGATCACCACAGAAAGTCTGGTTCTGCTTCCAGCTGCTCATGTCATAAAAGCAGAAGCCTAGTGCTCCTATGTGAAATATTCCTAAAGAAGAAGAAGCCCTTTACAGGAGCTGACTATTGCAAAGGGAGGAAAAAAATTACTGTGTCATTTCCCATCCCAATATTGCTCACAGCTCTTCTTATTTTGGGGGAATAAAAAGCATCAACTGCTTCAATAGACAATTATCGGTCAGAGATTAAGAGGACACAAAATCAGACACAATTAACATACAGAAAATTGTACCATCAAGGGGAAACATGAAAAACATCAGACCTAACTGAAAACTCTAAAATCTGCAGCACAAAACTTAACGCAACTTACATACGAAATATAAACCAACATGTGGACCCAGGACACCCATCTGGTATTTGGGGACCAAACTACCATAATTGGCAAACTAGTTTCAAAAATATTTTCTCAGAGTGATTTCTCTGACCTCAGGGCCTGACTAGAACCTCGGTATACAAAACAGGAAAGGAAAATATTTCAGATACCTTGCAGATCCATAATTGAAATATTTTAATTAAAGAAGAAATTTTAACTGAAAACAGTTAAATGTGAAGTCACCTATTCCAAATCTAGATTTTCTCACAGTTTGTCATCTACCTGAGAGATGAACTCCTGCTTCTGACATCAGGGTGAAGCATTCCGTAGCAAAACATTTTCTCCCATAAGATTTGTAAAACTGAACACCTTCAGAAAATATCAATTGCTCGAACTTTCAGATTCTAAATTGTTGGAAACTATTTCCTAATCTCTCACACACATTAGTCTGCTATAAATATCACCTAACTCACTTGGTAACTTATCAGACATATTACAAAAACCAACCTGGGCGGAGAACATTCAGTGATGACAGAGCACTTGAAAAAGCACCACCAGCTTTTGGTTTTTCTTCTTCCTTCTCACTTTCAACTTCCATTTCTTCTTCACCATGCTCACTGTTTGCAGTCCCATCTTCTTGGCCTACATCTTTATTCTGTCCTATCTTTTCTAGTGGTGCTTCAACTGATAAGACAGCAAAGTCCATGTTTTACTCCATTTATAAAGACCACTCAGAAGTATTTTTTAAAAGATATAACAACCAAAAATGAAAATCAAATGAAAATGTTAAATAATAATTTCATTGTTTGAGATCTAGGAAAATACACTTTCTTAATTGTGATTAAATCACTGACATCTTCTCAAAATAAAATGTGACAAGGCAGGCCCCACCAACCACTAAACATTCTTCATATTGTCAAGTATTAAGAAAGTGGGGGAACTCAACCTTGTGCAACCTTGTCAAAGTCTCTTTCAATGAGAAAGCACTGCCTGTGTTACACCAAGTATTTCCACATGAAATTATTGATTTCAAAAGAACCATTCATTTTCCTCTTGGGCTACATCCTACATTAGGTGGGTAACATACAGATACAGGCAGCAAGTATAATAATGTGTAAAAAAATGTATGTTAAACCCAGCTACCCAAACCAAGCTGCACGTATCTGAGGTTTCAGACTCAAGCACTTGTTTAGAGAATCCAAGCTACTCTCTCAGTAGCAGTCTTTAAGTTTAAGGATCATTGTGACAGAAGCAAGAAGGTTTTCACAGATGACCTGAACACTAGCCACAGAAATGATAATTTCTGGTTTTGCTCATGTCCCACACCACCGCATAGGCAATTTAAAGATTCTAATAAGAAAGAATATGTGGGTTTTCTAAATGCAGACAAAATCTTTAAAAATAATTAATTAATTTTTAAAAGGGTATTTCCTGCATAGGACCATGTTCAACCTCCAAGTGCTTCTCTAGATCATTGCAATCTTTAGATCATAAGCCTCTCAGCTCGTGCTCATAGCATTACATAATTTATGTAAAAACTTAAGTGGAAAAGGAAGCACTACACTTTACCAATGAACTTCCCAAAAACCAATAGTAAAATGAAATTGAAGTCCCGGGCTCTATTTCAACCTCTCAAGGACTGTACATTGTTAACAGATCATTTGGCTCCAACACTTTGAGTCTATCATCTTAATCAAGTATACTCGAAGGTACAAGTCCTGAAACAGGCAGCTGTTTAACAATTAACTTAGTAACAAAGACCATCACTCTGCTCACCCCAAAAATCTTCCTTTTTGAAGAAAATGCATTACAAGGACACATCTTGTCAGACAAGCACCAGGTACATTTTCAAAGGAATGGAATTCTTTCCTGATTCAATAAGCAATTCATCTGTCATAAACACAGCTGCAATTCAGAATACTGATGTCTACTGCCAACCATCTAACAGAACTGAGAAGTTCCATCCTTCTATGTTAACTTCTACATGAGAACCAAAGAACTTTCTACCAATGTAGAACAGCATTCCTAAGGCTCAAGTAACACATTTCATCTGTGCTTTACTTCAGCTCTAAATGTGAAATTCTCTAGAAGACTAAAAATTCATTTTGAAAACAAGAAATTAAATTACAGTACTTCATCTTTTCCACTACAGAAGTTACTATTAGTTTTGCAATTACCATCTGTTGGAGAATTGACCTCTGTTCTAACTTTTGATTTTTCAAGATCTTCTTTGTATTCCTTCTTCAACTGTTTTACAATCTTTTTGCTGTAACTTGATTTCTTCACTTTGAAAACTTCTTCTGTTTCTTTAAAAGAGAAATTGGATAACATTACATGAGATCTGTCAGGCATACTTATTTAATCTCTCAATTTTGTACCTGGAACATCATAAATGCCATTTAAAAACATTAACAAATGCCATTGTAGGGTTCTTTCACAGTCTCTAGTGAAAGTCTAATTATACACCTTCAGTATTTCTATGAAGATTTAAAATCACAACTCTTAGAAAACAAGTTTCAGTGATTTCAAGAGAATTCCTTTTAAGACAACTCAAAACTGTGAACTGTTCGGACAACAGGCAGTGAGTCCGAGGAGACCCGTGAACACCAGATTGAAACCACCTCGACAGAAAGCCACGGGACAGATGCTCCTCAGCTAACACCGATGGCTCCAGGGGGAGGTACAGGCTGCACGTACTCCAGGCATCCCAGGGGCAGCAAATGCAGCACAAGGGACGCACCAGCAACACAAGAGCAACCTGAACCCCTACACCACAGCTAACCACGCTGGAAGCACACTGGCCACGCAGGGGATGGTGGTGGCCCATGCTCTCAAGGTTCGCCCCGTCTTATGTGATCCCACATCACCCCAGGCCACACAGCCCTAAAAAATAAATACGGATCCTGCTCGCTTGGAGGGCCGGGAGAGGCCCAGTGCAGGCTGAGCACCTCCGGTTCTCTTTCACCACCCAAAAGCCAGGCAACCATCTCTGCCTCACCCTCCTCCTCGTCCTGGAAGCTGAGCAGGCTGGCCCTGGGCACCTCTTTGTTCTCCCGCGACCGCTTCTTCTCCTTGGGGCGCCCGGCAGCCGGCAGCCCATTGCCCTGCTGGGGCTGCGGCGGCGGCGGCGGCGGGCGCAGGGCAGCGGGCGCCGCCAGAGCCGCCAGCCCCGCTCGGTCGCCTCCCATCAAGCCCAGCCCCAAGCCGAGAGCCGCTCCGTAGCTGGCAGCGCAGGCGAAAGCCGCGGGGCTGCCGGGCAGAGCGAGGGGCACGCAGCCGGCGGGCAGCGGCAGCAGCCCGGCGCCCGGCGGCGCGGAGGCCTCGCTGGGCCCTTCCCCCGCCGCCCCGGCCGCCGGCGCCGGCTCCTGAGGCGGCTCCTCATCGCGCTCTTCATCCTCCTCCTCCGAGTCGTTCCGCTTGCGCACGTTCACCCTCCGCGCCTTGCGGAACATCCCGCCAGGCACCCCCCGGCCGCCCCGCCAGGCCCCGGCGCCGCCCGCTCCGGCCGCCCCGCGCTGCGGCCCAGGCCCGGCCCCGCGAGCATGGCCGCGCCGCCCGCAGCGCCCCCTGCCGCCCGCTCCGCCACCGCCGGGCGGGGCCGCGGCACGGCGCCTGCGCGGAACGGCGGCTCGAGCGGCCCGGCCCGCCCCCGCTGCCTCCCCTCACGGCCGGCGCCATCTTGTGCCGGCACCGGGAGGGTGATGGGAGTATAAAGTGACTTACGTGAAAAACGCCAATCACTCGGGTTTTAAAAGTTTAATAATAATAAAATGGTTATAAAAGTAGTAATACAATTAGAGTAATAAAGTTTAGAGTTAGGACAATTACAAGACAATAAACAGCAAAGAATTACGGATATCCGGATGCTCTCGGACACTAAGTCACGAAAAGCATCCCTTGCGAACAAAGGAATAACCTTAAAAGCAATAGCCTGTTGCATATTCATATATCCTTCATGGTTATGCATACATTCTATTTAAAACAAGAACTCTGTTGTATGTCAACTGTTTCCTTTAATCCCCAAGGCGTTTTCGAATCTGAGCAAGGCCTGAAGAAATTCGCTTCTTCTGATAAGAAAACCATAAATTCCTTTTCTTTGGAAGATTTAGGTGTTCCTCGAAGCGAGTATCTCATTCAAAAAAAAAAAAAAACTCCCTCCACATACATAGTCTCTATTTTAACATTATGTTGTAACCTAAAACTACATTTATCACACTACTTAAGAGAATCAATACAGCATGACTTTCTAACATTACACATATAATGCTCATTGTAACATTTGTGAAAAGCCAATCATAAAATATGCATTTTTCACACATATTAAAGAAAAGGTTCATCATGCGAGATGAGTGTGTTGTATAAAATTTGTTTTATTATACCAGACATAGATGGCATTTTGGAGATGTTGGTCTTGTGAAAAAATGCATATTTTATGATTGGCTTTTCGCAAATGTTACAATGAATATTATATATATAATGTTAGAAAGTTATGCTGTATTAATTCTCTTAAGTAGTGTGATAAATGTAGTTTTAGATCACAACATAATGTTAAAATAGAATTCTGCAATATTTGTTATAAGCTCAAGCGAGAAGATGAGATAATCAAGAAACTCTTCACACAGAGATGTCAGTGAAGGGGGCCCATAAAAAATTCCTGCCTCCTTATCAGAAAAGACAAACATTCTTCCACCTTCTCTCCATCTTTTTGGAACCACCAAGATTAAGGAGAAGAAATTGACAAAAACCAGAAAAGTTCTTAATTTGCAAGGAATTTATGCATCATGTATGAGATATATGAATGTGGAACAAGCTATTGCTTTTAAGGTTATTCCTTTGTTCACAAGGGATGCTTTTCATGACTTAGTGTCCAAGAGCATCCGGACATCCGTAATTCTTTGCTGTTTGTTGTCATGTAATTGTCCTAATTCTAAATTTTATTACTCTAACTGTATTACTATTTTTATAACCATTTTATTATTATTAAACTTTTAAAATTTTAAAAACCAAGTGATTGGCGTTTTTCACACTCTGGAAAAATTCTGTGAGCTTTAATGCAATACTTCTGTAGCGCAAAGCCCTATAAAATAGAATCGGTAGCAGGTTTTTGGTATTCTCTGGGGCAGAATGGGGCTGTTGGGAAGCTCACCACAATATCTGAGCTGTGGATTTCTGTAGTTGAGGATTTTTTCCTGGAAACAGCAAACTTCAGTGCTTACTTGGGCACTGGAATAAAATGTCTTTTGCACCAGCCCTATTCACAACACTACAGTGGCAAAAGTAGCTAGAAATTTAATTTGCTGTGCTAGAAAGCCCATGGATTTATTAAGTTCATTTTTTCCCAACAAGGCCAGAATACATACATCCTCAGCTGCTACTGCATGTGTGAATTTTTGGACACTACTGTCATGGTAGTGGGGAATTACTGTGATTTCAGCACATTTTTTACCAGAGGGCAGCTGATCTTTGCTGAAGATCATCTAGGTTTCATTTTTCCAGATTTTGGCGGAAGCCTTGGTAACATTTAGAAATCAATATATTTGTATGTACCAGCTCCTTTACTTTATTTTATTTTTTTTTAAACACAACACTCTCCTATGTAGGATTGGTGAATTGCTAGTTTGTGAAGACAAGGTTAGTTCTCTTGCACAAACAGCTGGATAAAGGAGTTCCTGGGCAGATGACATGAATTATTTGCCTGTGTCTGTAATAGACAGTCATGAGAGATATCACTGGAAATATTTGTAATTTGGAGAAAAAGGCTTATGGTTCATTGCCAAGGGGCTGACGAAGGGAACAATGTCTTTACAACAGCTGATTCAATTGTTCTCTGGTTGAGTTAAATGGAGTTCGGTACCCAGCTTGCAATAACCAGTGTGCTTAAATCTATTTGCAATTGCAAATAGACCCCATTAATTCCATCATTAGCACATGGCTGATTTCAGTGGGAAAGGTCACAGTAATGGGGGGTGGGAGTGTATTTAAGTCTTCTGAAAAATTAAGTTTTGCTTTCTAGCAAAACTGCTCCATCATTGATTACAGTTGTATCAATATGACTATTTAAAATAGAAATAGTCTTTCTTTAAAATTGCAGCAGCTTCACTTCCTCAGAGTCCCTCTGGTTCCTCAGAATCTTGATAGCCATTCCCTTAAGTGCACAGAGAATCATGGAATCCCAGATTGGTTTGGGTTGGAAGTGCTCTTAAAGACAACCCAGTTCCATCCCCCCTGCCATGGGCAAGGACACCTTCCACTAGACCAGTGAGATTATTTGCAAGAACTCATAAGCAGCTTCACAAGGAAATGTAGTAGGACTACACTAAAAAAATCATGAGGCAACGTCCTGTGGAGCAAAGGCACTCTAGTAGGGCACATGTAAGGAACAAAGACTAAGATTTGCTGGGATTCAAATGAAAATATATTTGCTGTTTTTTCAAATATAATGCCTGGTCTTTACATGCTCCAGGTCCCTCTGGGAATGGCCAATACTGGTACCACAGTAAGAACATTTGGCCAAAGTCAGGAGGAGTTAGGTGCCATTTGGGGCCTGGACATCCAGGCATTTTTTTTTCCTGGATATCCAGGCATTTTTTTTCCTAGCAAACAGCACACCTGTCCAAGTAATGAGCTAATAGCTTTTCCTTGAGAAGGCTGTGGGAAATCATGTCACCTTTTGAGTTACCTGAGACTTTTCCTCATTCTTTGTCTCTAGATTTGCCCAGCCATACAATAAAGGAGATTCTCCTTAGCCCTTGTTTTGTGGTTAATGTATTTATAGAAACATTTGTTTTATTGTATTTTACAGCAGTAGCCAGATGGGCTTCCATTCTTCTCATTTTCTCTCTGCCTCATTACATCTTTGTTGGTTTCCTGACTTGCTGCCCCTTCTTCCAAATGTTACTGTGGGAACCCAGGGCAGGGGGAATATCCTTGTCTGCCCTGGGGTGCTCTGACTCTGACTTTGACCCTCATTTATGGAGAAGGCCTCCTAAGCCTCAAAGTAAACTAGAGACCACAAAAATGTGAAATACATTGTAGAAATTGTAGAGAGTAGTTTAGTATGTCACATGGGTGAGAAATTTAGATTTTAAGATTTTTAACATACTGTAGATAGGCACAAGATGGAGGGTACAGGTGTTGTCTTAAGTTCCATTCTTATTCCTTCTTCTTCCTTCTTTTTCTTGGGTTTGGCTGATGTCTTGTAATTTGACAGAAAAATCCGCATTGCGGGTCTTTAAGGGTCAGTTATTGGGTTATAAAGGGAAATAATCTAGGTGTCACTTCTTAAATGGGTGGTTTAGTTTTTGATTAGACTTAAAAAGACCTTGTAGCATGAGTTTGTTGGCCATTTTTGTGCTGTTTTTGGGCATGCAAGGTCTGGGTGCAGACAGTGTGCTGAAGTCTTGATAAAATAACAGTAAAACAAGAACCTGAAGACCAAAAATGTCCTGTGGGTCTGCTTTTCCTGGCACAGAACTGCTTCAGGAGGGTCTCCCCCTGCCAGGGGAGCCCCCGGGGGATTTGGCCAACGTGGGACCCACAAATGCACAACAGGTGCCCCACTGTGAGGAAAATCCAGCTCTTCACAGATCACCCCACGAAGTCCCTGGAAGAGAGCCAGAGGTGAAAAGACTCAGCCATTCAACATCTCAGTTCCTGGTGGCCACAGGAGTCACATCCCAAGCTCTGCTGGGTGAATCTCAAGAGCTGAACTCCAAATTCGGTAAGCCCTGAAGGTGACAAAAATGAGAGGGAATCTTGCCAAAAGTGTTTTGGACACACCCCAAAAATTAGAATCCCTAGTGAAACAGCACTAATTAAAAGTGGACAAAAAGGATTTTGAAAATTTATTGCTTTGGGCAAAGGAAAATTACCCATCTCTTGATAAAGAGAAAGATTTATTTCAACCCTGGTTTTGGGCAGATGATATCAAGCTATATGAGGACGTGGTAGCCCACGATCCAAATGCAGCAGTGTTGTTTGCGGCTTCTAGAGCGCTCTATCAAGTTACATATGATGCAAAATATTTGCAAACTGCTACATATCACAAAAAATAATCCTCAGACACCTGAGAGATTTTTTCCCCGGGGGAAGAAGAGCAGGAGTCTGCCATCCCAGAAAGTGGATTTCTGGAGAAGTCTCCTGAAACTCATCACCCTACCAAGGCTCGGGGGAAAGTTAACTCACTCTGGGGAGGGCAGAGATAAATCCGAGAGGGAGGGTGAAGCGGGAGAGGAGACGGGGAGGGGAAGGAGGAAATAAAGGAAATGGACCCCGAAACACAGCGGCTTCCACGTTTAAAATTCCTTATTGGTAAAGATGATAAAGAGGACATGTCTTTTTATGAATTTCTTACACCTCTGTGTATCCCTGAGGTGGGAGAAGGGGGGTTGGAGGGGCCATTTCGTTCCACTTTACCCCGGTCCCAACTCTCGGAGGTGTCACCGGCGCCCAAGGCGCTCGTGGCAACGCCTTTGGCTGCCAACCTCCAAAAAAGACAGCACAGGATGTACAGAATCGTCCACGATCAATTGAGGCTCTCAAAGCGTGCCTTGCAGAAGAAGAGCAAGACACAATAGTCATCATTCCAGGAAAAATGGACGTGTCAAGCCAAGGCACAACACACATTGGACAGGACATCAGCACTCAAGCCATGGAGGATCAACAACAACAACAACAATTTCCTGCATCACAGGAGGGCAGTGACGTGAATGTTATCTCCATCACAGCAGGACAAGGCATTCCTGTTTCATCCAAAGAGACACCTGGCTTCTGGACATCAACAGACACTTCCCCAGGACATTGGCTGAGCTTTTGCTGAGCGGCAGCTGTGGTGTCAGGATGCAGCTGTGTGTGGGGTCTGTGAGAGGCTCTCCCAGGGATGGAGGCTGGAATTAACCAGGCTAGGGGGTGCTCCACTACTTGCCTTCTTCTGGCTCCTAAGAGTCACTGTGGGACTGGGGTGTCCCCAGGGGGCTCCTGTGGCTCTCTGGCTGAGGGCAGCTCATAGGGGCTGCATCTGCAGGCTTCTCCATCCCCCCCCATCCCTATCCCACCCACATTCTGGGCATCCTGAAGTGTGATGCCCATAGCCCAGAGGGGTTCGGGATCTGTTCCACAGCCTGTCCCACAGCCCAGGGGGGTTGCAGCCCCCACAAGCATTTGTGGGAGCCAGAAGGGGACTGGGACACAAGAGCAGGGGCCTGCCAGCACAGGATGGTTACGGTGGCCGCCTCATGGAGCAGCAACAGATGGGACTCAGCAATGCCATGCTGAGAAACAGCCCCAATTCCCCCAGGTGCAGAGAGGGATGTGATGGCCCCGTCTTCCATGGTGCCTGCAGCCCATGGCTTCTCCACCCACCCTCTCCTCCAGGGCAGGGCACGGCCTGGGCAGAACTGAGACTGACTGTAGCTCTCGAGCCCTTCACCAGGCAGGAAGGAGGTGAGGAATGGATCCCGCCCTTCACGGGCACCAGGGCTACCTCCTCTCCCTCCCTCCTCATCCCACAGGTGCCCTCTACACCCCTGGGCAGCACCATCCCCAGGATGCAGGTGACACTGGGCAGCCTTGATGTACTTTAATAAACTCTAGGGTCTCAGATCCAGCTATGGGAAAAGCTGGTTCCAGCCCAGGCAGTGCTCCTGACTCAGCTTGGGACACCAGGACCCCACTCACAGTAGGGCCAGCACAGGGCAATGCAGTTCCCAAAGCAGGTCACAGAGATGAGCCTCCCGGGAGGTATCACATGTACATGCAGCGGTGTGGGGCTGTCAGAGCAGGGAGCTGCACTGCAGGGTGCTCACCCAGCACAGCAGTTGTTCCCCCATCTCAGCCCAAGCCCCCACTCTTCCCAGTGACAGGGGCCAGTGCTTGGGACGGCCATCGCACCTCCCTGGTGTCGACACCAAGGGGACTGAGCACCACGCAGGTGAAGTTGGTGTGCAGGTGCTGGTTGTCGAAGGAGCTGAAGTGCAGGTCACGGCGCAGCACCGAGCCCGAGCCCTGCCGCTCCTCCCTGTGGACCCAGCGGGGACCGGTCAGTGCCCACTCCAGATGGGCAGAGCCCTGTCCCAGCCAGGGCTGCCCCGCTGTCACTGCCCCCCTGTCCCCATACTCACTGCACTGTCCCCTCACGCACAGCCCCGTCCGGGTGCAGGCTCTCCACGAAGGAGCTGTTCTCCAGCCAGTAGAGCAGCGTCAACTCTGGAAGCTCACTCAGTGCTTCACATGACACAGTCACACTCTCACCTGCAGCCGCAGGGGGTGTGAAAGTTGGGGGGTTCAAGGATCTCCAGTGCCCCCCAGGCACAGACACAGCGCCCCTCCCTAACTAAGGGGAACATTCCCCCACCTCATCAGCAGCCCAAAATCTTGGCTGTGGGTGGAGGATTCACCTTGTGTGTGCTGGAGGCTGGCACCCACTGCAGCCTCCTCACCCTTAGGCCCTGCCAGGGTGTCTCACCTGGGCGAGGAAGCTCTGCTGGCATCTGCAGGATGGCGATGCTGGGTGGCTGCAAGGCCATGGCACCTGGAGGAACAGAGAGGGGTGAGGTGGGAGGTCGAGAGTGACCCTGAGATCGCACAGTTTTTTTAGTGGGTGAGGAGGCAGGGTCCCACAAAGGGATGCAGGCACTGCTCATCCCCAGACCCCTGAACAGGACTTTTGAGGGGCATAGAGCCCAGGCTTGACCTTAGGCTCCCCGGCTCCCCAGTAACCCCCACTTACCTGTGCAGCAAGCAGCCAAGCCCCAGCAGAGCAGGAGGATCCAGGCAGGGCTTCCCAGGGGCTCTGCAGACAAAAACGGAGCTCAGTGCTGGGCACACAGGGATGCTTGGGATGGTTCCCCCAGCATCCCTGAATCTGGGATGGTCCCGTCCTTTCAGCATCCTCCCAGCTGGCCATGGTATCTCTAGGACTACCCAAGTCGATGATCCCGTCCCCTCGTATCCGCCCAGCACCCCCGAGTGTGGGATACCCCGTACCCCCCAGCATCCTCCTCCCGGGGTCACTCAGGTCGCGGCTGGTGCCCCCTAAGGCTGTCCGCCCAGCGCTCCGGTACACACGGAGAGCGGCGGCGCTCGGGACCGCGGCGCTTTAAGCGGCGGCCCGGGGCGGGGCGGGGCGGGAGGCAGCGCTGTGACTCACCGGGAGCCGCCCTCGGTCCCGACGACGTGTCCCGACGCCACTGCACGACTGTGTGTCGATGGGTCCTGTCCCGACATGTCCCGAGCCCCCTGAACGTGCCTTGTGTCCCCAGCACTCAGTGCCCCCTGCACCTGGGGACACACAGCCCTCAGGCGCTCCCATGATCGGCATCCCCCCACCCCTGGGGGAGCACCCATGGGCTCGACAGGGATGGAGGAGTGGAGCCCAGCTGGGCCCCCAGGGTCTAGCACAGAATTCTGAACATGCTTTTGCTCCCCGATGCTTTGGGATCAGGGACAAGGCAGGGTCTGCACAGGAGGAAAGTGGGTGAAGCCCCCAGGAGACTGAGTGAGCCTGGGTGTTGGCCCCTGGGTGTCCCAGCTGGTGGAGGACAGCAGCTTTGCAGATAAAAATCCCCAGAGCTTTAGTTCTTGGCTGCAAGAAGCCGTCTCCTGTGTCCCACAGCAGTCCCTTGACAGCAGATGTGGTTTCAACAACCCACTGGTTACAAAACCAGGGGCGAGGCCCCACACCCCACTCCCCAGCAGCGTCAAGGCTGGGAGCCAGTGCAGGTACAGCAACAGGGCAGAGTAGCCACCCGAGTCACAGGCCCTGGCAAGTCTTGGAAAAAAGTCCCTAAACTCCCAGTGAGTTTTGTTATACATTCCCAGCAGAGAAGGAAGGTGGCAGGAAAGGTGGCAGGCAACCCGTCTGTCAACTGGGCAGTGACGAATCACAGGCAGCTCCCAGGGCAGCACCCAGCTCCTCTGCCACCTTCCTGCTCCCACCAATACCAATCAGTTTAGCTCTGGATACTGCTGGGTGAAAGAGGTGGACAGGGAATGCAGATGGCTGCTTAGGATACACCCAATAGCCTTCCCCTAGGAGCAATGAAAGGAGGAACCTTCCATGCCCTGCAGCAAGGAAGATGATCAAGAAAAACCCAGGGCCACTCCATTTTCAGGGCTCTTATTTTGGTGTTTGGCACAACACTGTAATGTGGTTTCACCCAAAAGAAAACTCAGGACGCAGCAAAGTGCTGGGGCTCCCCAGGGGGAACACAGCCCACGCAGCACCCACAGCCATACCACCACTGTGGCCACTTCCCAAATCCCGAGCCAGAAGCTGCCTTGTAGCCCTCCACCAGACCCCAGTGCCCTCAGGGAATATGACTCAAGTCTCCACATGCCAAAATCCCACCACTGGCCCTGGGACTGGGGACTTTGCCCCCACCCATTAGCAAAACTTGAGCCCAAGGCCACTTGCCCCAGCAGGATTTGGCATGGCTCCTCTACCCGCAAAGTCAGGAGCATGTCATGGAGTAATGCTGGGGCAGGGAAACGCCAGCACCAGCCCAACCTTCACTCCATCCCTTTTATTCCAGTGCCAAGTGAGGGCGGATTTACGCAGTGAGGGTGGACCTGCCCCCTGGGGCAGGGGCACCCGCTCTTGGCTGCTCGTGATGTACCATTACTGTCACCCAAAAGGGCGCAGAGAGGAACAGCACTGGCCCCACTCCATGCCTTGGCTGACCCCCCCGAGCAGTCAGGGGACACCGCTGGACTCCAGGGAGGAACACAGAAAATTTGGGAGCATATAAAAGAGTTCCCCAAGGCAGAGCCCACCATCACCACGCTGGAGAGCAGCCTGGTTCCTGCTGGCATACTCATGGTGCCCAGAGCAGACCTGGCAGCCGGGGGTAGCCAGGTGACCTTCCATCCTCTTTTTCAGGGCACTGGGCTCCAGCCTCTCCTCCGCAGCCCCCATGTCCCATCCTCGCTGCCAGCAAGGCTGCTCCAGGGTGCTGGCACTGGGAGCTGACAAAGCCTTGGCCCTTCTTGCCATGGCCTCCCCCGACAGAGTGGCAGGAAGGAGCTGGAGAACAGCCCTCAGCCCAAAGCTCAGCCCAGCAGGGCGCTGCACAGGGCTGCAGAGGGACAGGGAAAGGGGACAAGCATCTCTTTTTGGCTGCAATAGAAAGTTTTAAATATGCTCATTAAAATAATTGCTTTTTAAAAAAATCCTCCCCTAGCCCCAGCAGGAGGGGCCCCGACGTTGCTGTCCTTGGTGGTGGTCAAGGTCCTGAGAGGTGACGGAGCAAAGCCAGCACCCCTGGTGGCAATGTCCTCTCGTGGTTCCGTGGCTCCCCACCGCCTGCCCTTACTCCAGCCCGAGGATGTAGTTGATTCCCTGGACCAGTCCAATGATCACCGGCTGCCAGGCCACCAAGTAGCGCAGCCAGTCCAGCAGCTGCCCGTACATGACATGTGGCCTCTCCCAGCTGGGCAGGAAGGAGTTAAAGAGTCATGGAGAAATGGATGAGAGGAGCATGGCCCACCCAGAAGCCACCCAAAGGTGCCCCAAAGCAGGGACAGAGAACACAGGTGCCCAGGGAGGGACAGACAAGCACCCAGGGAAGGACAGACATGAGTCCTCATGGAGGAAAGAATTTAGCCAGGCTTGGCTTGGGTTTTGCAGGGTCTCTGCCACAGCCACACGCTGCAGCAACTTACTCAGGGTACCAGCAAGCCTCTCACCCCTTGTGTGTTCTACCCACAGCTTCCCTTCCCAAAGTGCTGGCTACCAGTGGAAGAAAGGATACGGATTACTGAACATCCTCTTGAGATCCACCTTCTCTTTGCAGTATGGACACGTCTGCTTCTTCCCGACAATGCACCAGCCCCGGATGCAGAACTCGTGAAACCTGGGGAGTGGCATGTTAAGGGGAACTGGAAGAAGAGGGGGATACATGGCTCAGCGTGGAGGAAACCACCAAGGCCAAGGAAGTCCCCCCCAGAGCCATGGAAACATCCCCCCATGAGAGGATGGTGCATTGCACAATCACAATTCCTATAAGGTGCAGCAGCTTCCAGGGACAGCGGAAGGAGCTCATGGGGCAGCAGAACAGAGCCAGGGTGGCAGTGTGAAGGCCCTGACCTTCATTGAAACAGAAATTGAAACTCTTCAGTGATGGTGCCCAAGCACTGAGAAGGTTTGGATAGACTGGGAGAGATCTGTCAACTGCATGCATTTTGGAAGCCTTCTTCAAAGGTTTCCTGGAGATTAACATTTAAGGAATTTCCCTGTAAGTAAGGGTCTGACTTACAGGTGCTTACTATGTTCTGTCACAAGGATTTGCACAACCTGAGCACAGCCTGGAGAAGTTACAGGAAAACATGAGGTGGCTGTAGCTGACTCTGCAACACACAGAGGTGTCACAGAGCAAATAGACCTTCCCCAGAATATCTCTGCTGCTCAAACCATGGAAGAATGCCAGGCAGCAGGAACAGGAGTCACTTCCTTGTCAGCCCTGGAGCCATAGATGCAGGAGTGCCCAGTCAGCAGTCACCCCTGAGGACCACCAGGAGCACCAACCAGCTCCTCTGGCAGCCACACACCACCCCAAGCTGCTGCAGTCCCAGGCCCTTGCACAGTGTCAGCCATAAATCTCACCAACAGCTCCCAGGAGCTAAATTTAGGCTCCTGTTTTGCCAGCATGACCTTTGCTCAGGCCCAGTTTGGAAACCACCTCGCAAGCAGTAACGCGCACAGTGCCAGAGGACATCCCATCTCTACACTGAATCACCACGGGGAAAAACCCTGACTTGATGCCCCAGCCGGGACTGAGCACCAACCAGGACTTCCAGTTTTAAAACCCACTTCTCATCAATCAGCTGACACGAAGGGCTGAGTGACTCCAGCGTGCTGGAAACCCTGCAGGAGTTCTAGAGAAGGAGGAAGCTGCTGGGCTGGGGTCAGAGCAGGTAGTAACCAGCAGCGCTGGACCAGGGGGCTGTTTTCAGAGGGGCCAGCAGTGTTTCCCCATGATTCTTCCTTACAGACACTCAGGACCCACTGCAATGCATCTCTGATGAGGGGCCAGTGTGGAATGGAGCAGGAATGCCTCGTGTCCTGACCTCACACCATCACTTCCACTAGAATATCTGCCGGGGGCACTGCCAGTCAGATGGGTCGCAGCAGATTTGTCAAAAGCAGGTAAAAACTGCTTTTGACAAATCTGTGCAGCTCCATGACTCAGCAGAGGGAGCTGGGGATGAGAAGGAAGAGGAAACAACCACTTGTGAGTGTCAACGAAGTAATTTCAGCGACACCTCTTCCCATGCCAAGTCAGTGATGACACAGGCATAGATCACATGCAAATTCAGCCAGACAGCCCCGAGTCCCAGAACAGGCATTTCTCCACCCAGTGCAGGAGAAGCCATGGGGCAGAGCTCCCTGCTGCCCACCCCAGCGTAGGGCTAGTGAGGCAGGGGGCTGGCACCTGCAGAGAAGGATACACATGGTTGCAGGAGAGGCGGTAGGTGTTCTCGATGATCCCTTCCTCGTTGACATCCACGAAGATCTGCTGGCCACAGACGGCACAGACGCTGTCAGAGAGGTGCTTGGTGGGCATCCCTGAGGCGCTGTAGAACTGAGCAAGGGCAGAGCAGAGGGAGAGCAGTGACAGTGGCAGGGCACGTGTCCCACACCCATGGTGGCACAGCTAAGCTCTAAGGAGGGCTGGGGTCAGCACCCCAGCAGTCCAGTTTGGCTTTTGGGGCTTAAAACCTTGTTACAGGATTGGCTGCAGGAAACAACTACAACAGGACAGCTGCTCAGCGATGCAGTGGCCCATCTCAAACCAGCCCCATGCACCCCCTCCCCATGTCAAGAGGCCAGCCCTCTTTGCTCCCCAACAGCCAGGTGCGTTTTCAGCTGTCTGCCAGGGACATGCACCCAGGGCAGAGACTGGGGGAGAGAGCAGGACAAGCTGGAGGTCACAGCTTTGACCCAAAATGACAACCTTGGGCTGCCAGTCAGATACAGCCCCACCTCCAGCCCTGCAGGTCCCTGGCACTCATTCAGCAAAGCACAGAGCAGCCACCCCTCTCAATTTCCGAGCCTCATGGCTCAGCATAGGCCTGACACAACACGGAAAGTACGGTCACAAAACCAGGTCCTACACACTCCAGCT